CACGACCTCCTGTACACCAGGCGAGGGAGTTCACATCTCCTAGCCACCCTGGCGTGTCATATAGGGGACTGCAAGCGCCCACGGTGGAGGGATATTGTGTCCTGACATAAGTGGATTTTTATTTTCTCCGAGTCCTCTGGTTTTCCCCTCCACATTTAGAAACGTGCATTTAGATTGTTTAGATTATTTCGCTGCTGTACATCACCACACGATGTTGATAAGCCACTTTGTTGAGCTATCATTTGTGGCGAGGTCGCTTCTGAAAAATAACTTCATAGCTCAGTGGGCTTTGCCTGGTACAATTAAATAGGTTTAATTTGTATATCCTTTTGGTGATATACATTGATGATTAATTCTCCATTCGATGTTAAACTAAGGATGTGTACACTAAAGATATTTTTTTTGCGTCGGATTGCATAAATATAAATGTGTCGTTTAACCCGCCACCACCACCACCCAACACAGCCAATTAGTAAGGTTTGTCACGTAAACAAAACATGGCCAATTAGTTACCAGTTCAGCACACCGGTTGTGTGTTGGGAGAGTAAAGCCACTACAACATTTACAATTCGAGTGCCACGACGTTTCGCCGGTAATTACAACAGCCAGCATAATCAGGCGACCGCCACAATGGTGGCGAGATCCACCTCCTGTTCCGGTCTTGAATCGAGGGATGAATGTGATGTCATCACTTGTGAGCCAATCAGAGGAGTGGGGGGGGAGTTAAGATATTCATATAAATTACAATGGATGTCTATTCTAGTCGCTAATTGGCACGTTCTGTTTACGTTACGAACATTACCAAATGGCTGTGTTAGGTGGTGGCAGGTTTGACGACACATTTTATATTTACGCGATCTAACCCAACACAAAAACCTGTTGTGGATAATATTGGTTGCGAAAGCCCTACTACTACTACTACCTACTACGACTCTGCGTTCAACTCAGGATGGGTAATCAATTGCTCAAACAATGCCACACGGATGTACCTGTCTGATTTTGCCCGGCTGTTTGCTCAACGCACGACAGGCATCGGTGGCAATAGCTGCCGTTTCCACCGAAGCTTTGACGCTCAGCAACCTTGCCACGGTCGGAATAATTTTCCGCAAACAATAATCGTCGTCGTCGTTGTCGTCATCGTTTTGTAACTTTGTTGTTACCTTGAGGAAGTTAACATCGAAGAACTCGTTAATTGGTTACAACTCGTTCATCCAGGAAAGTAATTTATTTAGAACTGATTTTGTGTTTAGTTTGTTGCCCTTACCCCGGACCTCCGAATAGCGATGTTGGCTACGTACGGCGCGAAAGAAGTTCAATTTACATCCACGTACATGATGATGATGGTGGTGGTGGTGATGTTGGTGATGTTGAGGAGCTACCTGCATGATGCTATAACTTGTGGCCAGGTCGCTTCTGAAAAAGAGCGATGCAGCTCAGTCGGCCTTACCTGGTAAAGTAAACAATTAAATTAATCGTTTTCATGGTTTTGGTATGTATGAGGTCGTGGGTTCGAGCCAACCCTGACGCCTGCTGCTGCACATTTGGAGTTTGTCTCTCTCTCGCTGTCTCTCTCCCCGTGGTGGCGTGGATTTATCTCCCCTCCACATTTAGGGGCTTCCCCTCCACGTTTAGACTCAACGTCACCACGCGTTTAGAATATTTGGATGCTGCTATAAACTTTCACACAGTAAGCGACTGGGGTTGAGGGATCATTTGTGATAGCCAGGTCGATTCTGACAAAGAACCACGTAGCTAAGTGGGCCTTACCTGCTGTTTAGTTTAGTGGACTTCACTCATGACAGTATTTGTCACGTGGGGTGGGGGGGGGGGGGCGGAGTGGTGGCGCTATGGTTAGCGCAATGCGCTCCGTATGAGCCTGGCGATCCGACGCGTGTGATCCCCGGCGCACGGCCAACATCGCTAACGAGAATCACAATTCATTACTGGAGGAGAAATCCGATGAGCTGTGATGCTTTTTTTTCCTGTCATGCAGAGGCTGCCGACAGAGGCGGGGGAGACGCTCGACCGGAGCCTCGCGGCGACCAGGGAGATCCACCAGAGGTACAAAGATCTACCGAGCTCTGCCATAGGAACGTGGAATTTTCATCGCCAACAACAAGGGGCTGCCGACTGGACGATGAGCGCCACATGGCCCCTGCCAAGTGGCGCCTTTGCCTAACAAAGGACTTAGTATCCTGGCACGCGTGATAGCAGTAGAAGCAGCAGCGGCGATTTGGTTGCAATGTCGAGGTCTCTATGGGTCTCTTGTACCACGATGCATCTCTATGAGTCTCTGTGTCATTATGGGTCTCTATGAGTCTCTGTATCTCGATGTATCTCTGTGTCTTTATAGGTCTTTACGTGTCTCTGTGTCTTTATGGGTCTTTATGTATCTCTGTGTCATTATGGGTCTCTATGAGTCTCTATATCTCGATGTGTCTCTGTGTCTTTATGGGTCTTTATGTATCTCTGTGTCATTATGGGTCTCTATGAGTCTCTATATCTCGATGTGTCTCTGTGTCTTTATGGGTCTTTATGTATCTCTGTGTCTTTATTGGTCTCTATGAGTCTCTGTATCTCGATGTATCTCTGTGTCTTTATAGGTAGTTATGAATCTCTGTGTCATTATGAGTCTCTATGAGTCTCTGTATCTCGATGTATCTCTGTGTCTATAGGTCGTTATGTGTCTCTGTGTCTTTATAGGTCTTTATGTATCTCTGTGTCATTATGAGTCTCTATGAGTCTCTGTATCTCGATGTATCTCTGTGTCTATAGGTCGTTATGTGTCTCTGTGTCTTTATAGGTCTTTATGTATCTCTGTGTCATTATGGGTCTCTATGTATCTCTGTATCTCGGATGTATCTCTGTGTATTTATGGGTCTTTATGTATCTCTGTGTCAATATGGGTCTCTATTAGTCTCTATATCTCGATGTATCTCTGTGTCTTTATAGGTCTTTATGCATCTCAGTGTCATTATGGGTCTCTATGAGTCTCTGTATCTCGATATATCTCTGTGTCTTTATGGATTTCCATATCTCTGTGCGGTTATAGGTCTATGAATCTGTCTCTCTGTGTCTGTGTCTTTATAGGTTTCTATGTATGTGTCTATTGGTGTCTCTCTGTATCTTTCAAGTCTCAGTGGGTTAAACTATGTGGTCCATTGCGTGGGTTGCATGGCCACAATCACACCGCTGTGGCTTGCCATCTAGGCGAAATGGATGTCGTTGATTTGAACCGAGGCATTTATCTCGTGTCATACTTTGAGTAAACAGTGTAATGTTAAAATACGAAGAGATTAATGCCTGGGGGTCAGTGGGTTGGAGATTACAAATAACCTTCTGACCCATTGAGTGCACGTACACGTTAAAGACTGGAATGGGTGACCAGGGTGGGGGAGGAGGTAGTGATGGGTGGGGCACGTGGTGACCAGGGGGGGGGGAGGTAGTGATGGGTGGGGCACGTGGTGACCAGGGTGGGGGAGGAGGTGGTAGTGATGGGTGGGACACGTGGTGACCAGGGTGGGGGAGGTGGTAGTGATGGGTGGGACACGTGGTGACCAGGGTGGGGGAGGAGGTAGTGATGGGTGGGACACGTGGTGACCAGGGTGGGGGAGGAGGTAGTGAGAGGTGGGGCACGTGGTGACCAGGGTGGGGGAGGAGGTAGTGATGGGTGGGGCACGTGGTGACCAGGGTGGGGGAGGAGGTAGTGATGGGTGGGGCACGTGGTGACCAGGGGGGGGGGGAGGTAGTGATGGGTGGGGCACGTGGTGACCAGGGTGGGAGAGGTGGTGGTGATGGGTGGGACACGTGGTGACCAGGGTGGGGGAGGTGGTGGTGATGGGTGGGGCACGTGGTGACCAGGGTGGGGGAGGTGGTGGTGATGGGTGGGGCACGTGGTGACCAGGGTGGGGGAGGAGGTGATGAGTGGGACACGTGGTGACCAGGGTGGGGGAGGAGGTGGTAGTGATGGGTGGGACACGTGGTGACCAGGATGGGGAGGAGGTGATGGGTGGGACACGTGGTGACCAGGGTGGGGGAGGTGGTGGTGATGGGTGGGACACGTGGTGGCCAGGGTGGGGGAGGAGGTAGTGATGGGTGGGGCACGTGGTGACCAGGGTGGGGGAGGAGGTGGTAGTGATGGGTGGGACACGTGGTGACCAGGATGGGGAGGAGGTGATGAGTGGGACACGTGGTGACCAGGGTGGGGGAGACCAAGTCACCGAGACCGCTATTACAGTGGCGTGAAGCCAGCCAGTGATGGTAGTCATGATGATGATGCTGATGACGATGTTCATGGTGTTGACGATGATGAGACAGAGTGATCCCGGGAAGACTGTTTGCCTGGGAGCATGAGGAATTGGGCAAAAGGAAGGGAGCTAAGCCGATTGACCTTCCAGGAGAGACGTCGCGCTCGGTGGGTTTCTGAGCGGCGATGCTCACACGCACGTCGCTTGTTCGTGTCGTTGTGCAGAGGAAACAAGCGGTGAAGCTGCCACCCAGCGAAAGTGACGCAGGTTGGCAACAGCGCACGTCAACACACGTCACAAAGACTCCCCCCCCCCCCATATCGTCTTAACAGGCTGTTGGGGCCACGTGCTGTTAGCGAGTAGCAGCACCTGTGCAGGCCGAAATTGCACACGAGGGGGTGGGTGCCCAGCACCACACCTGGCCGCCTTTGTCTCCCCAGTGGCGATGTTACATACCACACCAGGTACTCATTTGAGGCTGAGTTGACCTACACGCACACGCACACACTCACTCATCACCCCAACGCTCCGACTCACTGGACACCGATTTCATTCATCGTTTTCACGAGCGATGACGCGTTAGCCTGGCCCCTGGACCTGCTTGGCCCCAAGCCATTTTCAGACAACTTCGTGACGCCAGCGTATCACAGTTCGGTTACGGCAGGGCACGGCCAATATCCAGTGGGGAAAAAAAAAACCACCACCCGTACCGTGATGGCCCTGCGCTGGCTCGGCTCAGATGTGCCAGTGGAGAATAAGGGGTATCCATGCATCGCCGTGTCCCTCCAGAGGTGCCCGGCACCGGGATGGTTTGCAAAGGAACAAAGTGGGTGCCAGACCCCGGTGCTCAGCTCTTCAAGCGGTGGGGCAAGGAGCTCCCGGCGCGGCAGAAGCGCGCGGCGTGCGCCCGGTTCCTCACCTACGGCTACAACGCCTACCTGAGCGACCGGCTGCCCCTCGACCGCGACGTGCCCGACAACCGCCCTCCCGGGTACGCCACTCGGAGTCACACTCTCGCTCAGCGTCGCCACCACCACCACCACCACCGTCATCATTCATCACCACCATCATCGTCATCATCAGCATCATCATCACTGTCATTGCCACCATCACCATCCCCCGGCCGGGTGCGCGACTCACTCGCAGAGCGTTAAACTCATTTATCGTCATCATCACCATCACAGTGCTCACTAGCTGAGCGTGAGTGCGAGTGTGCGTTACCACTGGGCCTTCCCACGTCATGCGTTGTCACGGGGGTCGTTTGACCATACTTCCCCTCTCCCGGCCCCCCCCCCACCCCCCTGCAGCTGCAGCTCCAAGCGGTACCCGTCGGAGCTGCCGGCCCTGAGCCTGGTGCTGATCTTCTACAACGAGGCCGTCTCCATCCTGCTGCGCGCCGTCACCTCCGCCGTGCGCAACACGCCGCACCACCTCCTCAAGGAGATCATCCTCGTCGACGACTGCAGCAGCCACCGTGCGTCATCTCACACCCCCCCCACAACAACAACAACAAGGAGATATCCGACGTTACGCTCCGCATGCCACTCACAACCTCCTTAAGCTGCTCCTTCACCAACTCCTCCTTCAGCTGAACCTCCCCCTCCTCATTCCGCCTTCTCCTCTACCTCCTCCTCCTCCTCTCCGCCGTGCAGGGGACCTGCAGGAGGATTTCGCTTTGCGGACCCAGCTGATTGACCGCAGGTACGAGCACGTGTCCATCCGCCTCGTCCGGCACGCGGCCCGCAGGGGCCTCAGCGCGTCGCGCGTCACCGGCATCCGGGCGGCTTCAGGGCCCGTGGTGGCCGTCATGGACGCCCACGTGGAGTTCCCCGTCGGATGGTGAGTCCCAAAGTCGCTGAGCAAAAGTCTTGGACCGTTTTTCGACATCCAGTGTTTCATCAGCAGAGCCAGGCTTGCTTTTCGACAGTGCCGGTGAACTGCCGGCCCTACAGGTAAATGACCATTGCTCACTGGGACGTGGGTCCGAGCTCGACACGACATTATAGCGGCGCATCTAAAAGAAAAATCGTACCAATTAAATAAGTTCCCTGGGCCTCTTCCTTGAGGGCCATCGGTGGTCCGCTGGGAACCGCCCCTATAGAGAGGGAATTTTATTTATTGACTGACGCGCATGTGTGTGCGTGTGTGTGTGTGCGCGTGTGTGTGCGTGTGCGTGTGTGCGTGCGTGTGTATGTGCGTGTGTGTGTGTGCGTGTGTGTGTGCGCGTGTGTGTGCGTGTGTGCGTGTGTGTGTGCGTGTGTATGTGCCTGTGTGTGTGCGTGTGTGTGCGCGTGTGTGTGCGCGTGTGTGTGTGTGCGTGTGGGGAGTGGTAGTGTAGCGGTTAGTGCGCTGCGCTACGAACCCAGCGACCCGAGTTCCATTCCCGCTCACGGCCAACACCGTTGAAGATTATTTGAACCCGTCCTGGGCCTCCCCTAGGTTGACTCAGCCTCAAATGAGTACCTGGTGCGGTGTGTAAACATCGCCACTGGGGAGACAAAGGCGGCTAAGCGTGGTGCTGGCCACCCACCCCCTCGTGTACCGTGCCTGCCTTCCCAGGCACTGCTACTCGCTAACAGCACTTGCCCCAACAGTCTGTTGGGGCTATCCAGGGGGATCTTTGTCTTTGCTCTATAGAACTTTTGTTTGTGTTTAGTTTGTTGTCCTTATAACCCCGCACCTCGGATTGGCACGATTGGCTACGTACCGTGGTGCGACAGAATTTCAACACACAGACATACATGGACAGCTTGGGGGAGCGGTAGCGCAGCAGTTAGCAGACCGCTACGAACCCGGCGACCCGAGTTCGATTCTCGCTCACGGTCGCAAGATTGGTGACGATGATCTGAACCGGTCTGAGTGGCTTCTCCCCAAGGTATCCGATTCTCTTCATCACTCTCCCACTTTGGCCTCCCGTCATTTGAAATCTTTCCCCTGCCCCCCGACCCCCCCCTCCGCCTTCCCACCCCGTAGGGCCGAGCCCCTCCTGGCGCGTATCCAGGAGGAGCGCCGGGTCGTGGTGTCCACGGTGTTTGACAAGACGCACCACGACACGCTGGCGGTGCAGCGCTACCCGCTCAACCAGCACGTCTTCAACTGGGAGCTCGCCTGTGCCTACCAGCCCCCGTCCAGGCAGTGGCTCCGGAACGGCGACCTCACGGCCCCCATCCGGTGACGCTGCTGATGTCCCATCCCCCCCCCGCCCCCCCCCCCGTGCGGGGGAGGGGTGGGGGGGGGGTCCCTCTCCAATGGCAGTGGGGAGCGGCGGCAGTGTAGCGTGTTTTTCGATTATTCGGTCGCTATGAAATTCCACGTGATGACAAGAAGCCACTTTGCTGAGCTCCCATTTGTGATGGACAGGTTTCCCTCTGGAGAAATAAGTTAACAGCTCAGTTGGGCTCTGCCTCGTAAGAGAAAAAAAACAGTTGTAATTTATTTATATATCTTTTAAAGTGATATGTTTACCTTTCCTATACCTTACACTCCTATACGTGTTTTTGTATTGTTTGTTGTAACGTTCTGAGCCCGTGCCCCTACAGAATGCAAACAAAAAAACATACTCTGATAATATTATGCATTGTCCTTGAACAGAGACAGCTTTCTTTAAAGAAAGCTGTCTCTGGTGTGGACCAATCGGTTTCAAGGACAATGCATATATTATCAGAGTGTTTTTTGTTTCCATTCTGACCACAAGCATTGTGGTTAATGCAGACATGATTCCTTGTAAAAGGTTTCAGTTTGGTCTTTTAACATCTTAACACAACTGTTTTCTTGCCAGAAAAAAAGGGGAAAAACCTACGATCATATTTTGGTACTGGCAAAGGAGGTCCCGTGACACAGACCCCCATGGTTGGATTACTGCTTCTCGCTCACGGCATTTGGCCCAACAATCTGTTCAAGGCGACACGGGGGGGAGTGATCTTTGTTTTGTGTTGTTTGTGTGTGGATAGGAGCGCAATTTTGATGGGCTGCATGGCGGCCAGCAAGAGCTACCTGGAGGAGATCGGCTTTCTGGATGAAGGCATGCAGGTGTACGGAGGGGAGAACGTGGAGCTGGGCCTCAGGGTGAGGACGCACATAAACAAAGACAAAGATCCCCCGTGTAGCCTTAACAGACTGTTTGGGCAAGTACTGTTAGTGAGTAGAACCTATGAAGGCCGGCACGGCCACACGAGGGGGGTGGGGGGGGGTGGCCAGCACCACGCCTCCAGCCGTCTTAGTCTCACCAGTGGCGATGTCTTACACACAGTTGGTGAGGTCTTCATCCAGCACTAAGAGGCGTTCTCCGTGACACTGTGTTCTTAGTCTCACCAGTGGCGATGTCTTACACACAGTTGGTGAGGTCTTCATCCAGCACTAAGAGGCGTAGTCCGTGACACTGTGGTCTTAGTCTCACCAGTGGCGATGTCTTACACACAGTTGGTGAGGTCTTCATCCAGCACTAAGAGGCGTACTCCGTGACACTGTGGCCTTAGTCTCACCAGTGGCGATGTCTTACACACAGTTGGTGAAGTCTTCATCCAGCACTAAGAGGCATAGTCCGTGACACTGTGGTCTTAGTCTCACCAGTGGCGATGTCTTACAGTTGGTGAGGTCTTCATCCAGCACTAAGAGGCGTAGTCTGTGACACTGTGGCCTTAGTCTCACCAGTGGCGATGTCTTACACACAGTTGGTGAGGTCTTCATCCAGCACTAAGAGGCATACTCCGTGACACTGTGGCCTTAGTCTCACCAGTGGCGATGTCTTACACACAGTTGGTGAGGTCTTCATCCAGCACTAAGAGGCGTACTCCGTGACACTGTGGTCTTGAGCTTTGCTATCTGTGGCGGTTCGGCCCTCTGTGTCAAGCTTTGTTGGCCACCTTTCCCAGTGCACCCAGTTTCTGTCCTGCTCTGATGGAGATGTTTGTGAGATGTTTTGACCACGTCAGCTTGCTGTCAATGGTAACACCGAGGATCTCCAGCGTGTCGGTTGATGCTAGCTGACAGTCCCCAAATTGCAGATCCAGCTTGGATGGAATTCTCTTCTGAGGCAGTGTCATGGTCTGGTACTTTGATGGTGTGAAGGTGCTCATCAATTTGTGTGCCTAGATGTTCATTTGATGAAGATCCCTGTTGAAGCTCGCTGCCACTGTGTTGCTTTCTGCAGGTGATCTTATTGGAGCGTAGAGGGTTGAGTCGTCAGCGTAGAGGTACAGCCGGGGCCTCGCAGGCATCGACCAGGTCGTCAGTATAAAAGGAGAAGAGAAGTGGACCTAGAATTAATTGTTGTGGTACAGACGCGTTGATGGGAGAAAGTTCTGAGGCGTGGGCGGGCAATACATCTCTGATGCATCTATATTCTTTGTTTTTTTCTGTAAAGTCACGTAGGTAAAATAAAAATAAAATAAAATAAAAATAAATTAAATCACGACGTTTCTGAGGCAACACAAGCTTCCGTCTTCAGGTGGAACAGACACAGCAAAGTTCGCTGTATCAACTGAACAGCTCTGGGACACCCGAGCTTATATACAGGTTAAGGGGGGAGGAGCCAGGAAGGGACGTGGGTGGGGAAGGGAGGGGCTAAGTTAAGCTGCCTTATGTTATGCTGCAGGGGGTTCGGGAGGCCGATGGCGTGCTGCACAAGAGCAAGCACTATCCTGGTAGAAACGGAAACGGCTGTACAATTATCAGCCAGCTAACGTTTGACTTGGTTGATGACATCTTTCCAAAAGTTGCTCAATTTGAAACCATCCTCTCGGTTGAAGTTGTGTCTATGTTTGTATATCTGGATGGCTTCATGGACAAATCTTTGGTAATAACCGGGAGGTTTGCATAGTACTTTGGTATCGGAGAAAATAATGTCATGAGATCCCGCTGTGTTGAAACAATGATCAGCCACGGCCGAAGAATTCGTTCTGCCGTGTTTCAAATCTGATTTGTGCTCGCGAATTCGGTCAGAAATATGTCGTTTCGTCTCCCCGATATAGCAGTCACTGCAGGTACACCTCAATTTGTAAACACCGGGGTACTGTAAGTCAGGAATGACATCCTTTACGGATGAGATCAGATCACAGATTTTGTGTACTGTATTGAACCGGACCTGGATCTTGTGTTTGTTTAGAATTTTGGAAATCTTTTTGGTAACGCCTGCTATGTATGGCAGTGTGATGGTTTTGATCGGAGTATCAGGTGGTTGTTTCTGTATGGTGGGAGAAACAGCTTGGCGGATGATACGGTCAGAGTATCCGCTCCTCTTGAGGGCCAGATGTACATGTTTTAATTCACTGGCCAGGTGGTGTTTGTCAGAAATGCAATGAGCTCTATGGTATAATGTTTTGATGAGATAATTATTTTGAGCCGGGTGGTGGTGGGAATCAGGCTTCAAGTAGGAATCTGTGTGGGTGGACTTTCTGTAAACAGAATGTCCCAAAGAGCCATCCGTCCTCCTCTCAAACAGAACATCCAAGAATGGCAGCTTGCCATCTTTCTCCACTTTCATGGTGAATTTGATGGATGGGTGTCTAGAATTTCTGTGGTCTAGGAAATTATTCAAAGCTGGGAGGCCATGTGGCCAAATGATGAAAGTGTCATCCACATATCTCTTCCACAGGGAAGGACAAAGGGTGGATGTCTGGATGGCGTCTGATTCAAATTTCTCCATTAAAACATTGGCTATCACTGGTGACAAGGGAGAACCCATAGGGGTAGCCTCATTTTATTTGGAAAGATGTCATCAACCAAGTCAAACGTTAGCTGGCTGATAATTGTACAGCCGTTTCCGTTTCTACCAGGATGGTGCTTGCTCTCGTGCAGCACGCCATCGCTCCCCCCGAACCCCCTGCAGCATAACAAAAGGCGGCTTAATTTAGCCCATCCCCTCCCCACCCACGTCCCTACCTGGCTCCTCCCCCCCCCCCCTTAACCTGTATATAATCTCGGGTGTCCCAGAGCTGTTCACTTGATACAGCGAACTTTGTTGTGTCTGTTTCACCTGAAGACGGAAGCTTGTGTTGCCTCCGAAACGTCGTGATTTAATTTAGTTGTTTTCTTTTATTTTAAATTTTATTTTACCTACGTGACTTTACCGAAAAAAACACAGAGTATGAATCCTTGCAGTCACGAAAGCTTCAAATCTAGAATCTGATGAATCAGTCACAGCGGCTGGGCTATCGGTGACGACCCCCCTCACCTCCCCCCCCCCCCCCCCATGTATCCAGGTGTGGCAGTGCGGGGGCAGCGTGGAGGTGCTGCCCTGCTCACGCTTGGCTCACATCGAGCGCTACTTCAAGCCGTACGCCCCGGACCTGAGCGTCCACATGCGCAGGAATGCGCTGCGCGTGGCCGAGATCTGGATGGACGACTTCAAGAGAAACGTCTACATGGCCTGGAACGTGCCCATGAACGTACGCGCAGCACACTCATGCGTGTTCATGCAGACGTGATGCATATTCATGTAGACTTGATGGATATTCACGGTAAAGTCCCCAAAAGTCAACGTAGGCCCCATCATTACCCACATGGACATTGCAATCATCCCCGTGATTCTGTCAAAACTATTAGCAAGTTGGAACCTGACCAAAGCTGACTGGGACCACTGTAAGGAGGCTGTAGAGAGAGAGAGCGATGAGTCGAGTTCCCACGACACCGAAATACTATCACAGTTTTGTTGGCCTCCTCAAGCCAAATCCCCAAAAAACAACAGTCACTGCATTTCATCTTGATGAGAGGAGCACCAAGCACACTCTGAAAGTGACCTTCTGCGGCAACACTGTGCAACACGACCCCACTCGAACCTATCTCGGAGTGGAGCTGTGACCGTGCGCTAACCTTCCACGACCACCTGGGAAAGGTAGCTGCGAAGACCAACACAAGGGGGGTAACCTGGTACAGATCTGGCAAGCACAATCTGGAGAGCATCAGCACCCTCAGTGCTCTGATCAGTAACGGTGGCCATTGTGTACTCTGTAGCCGAGTACCGTGCACCATTATAGAGCAGAAGTAGTCACCGCTAGACTTGTTGATGTCCAATTGAACACTGCAATGCGGTGTATCACTTGAGCCCTCAAGTTGACCCCAACACTCTGGGCTGCCCGTGCTGCCACCAAATATCTCCCCCACCCATCTGCCACATCACTGCAACCCTCTGGGAAGAGCTGTAAATTGATGAAAACAGTCGCCTTCCTATCCATTAGGACATCGATAACATCCCTCGGCATTGCTTGGAGTCACGCCCAAGCCCTTTTGGACCCATGTGCTTAACCTTCAACAATGCAAATTCAACTCCGATGAAGCTTGGAGAGCTGAATGGAGTTCAAAAAAGCTCATAAACAAGCACCACCTTGTTGTGAAAGACCCAATGCAGAAGATCCCCTGGGGTTTGATCTTTGATGGTCCACCCTAATCCGCATTACCCACTGCACAAACCATGGCAGCAGTAGATGCGGATACCTGATGCATTCAATGGAAAATTAAAAACTCTCCAGTCGCGTGGCAACTGTGGTCATCCAGAACAGACCGTACAATGTGTAACGACGCAATGCCACGATCCACACACACGAAGGGGATATCGCAGCGCTACTCCTGATGTGGTTTTCTGGCTGGACCAACCTGAATGTGAAATTGTAGCTGTTGCTCTACATCTACATCAGCATCTACATCAGCATCCATACGAAAGAAAGAATAATGAATTGCACGGTTCGGAGGAGTATTTTTACGGATAACACACAGCACCACCGTAGTGTTCATCAGGGCGGCTACCAGTTCCGAACCCCAAACTTCTGCAGCAAGTGGCGAGCGTACAACCGCTGAGTCGAGTCGCCGCCCCGATTACTACCCAGTAAACATGGAACCTTGGCCCAACATTGAGGCAACGTTGTTCCAACATTAGTCGAACGTTGCCCCAACGTGAGCGCAACGTTGGCGCAATGTTGGCCCGTTCACTGGATGTACAACTCTCGTCTCGTTGACGACCCCTGCGCAGGGATCCGGGATCGACATCGGCGACATCTCGGAGCGCGTGGCTCTGCGCAAGCGGCTCAACTGCAAGAGCTTCGCGTGGTACCTGGAGAACGTGCTGCCCTCACTGCCATGGCACCACGACATCGTCCAGTACGGAGTGGTGAGTATCCAGTATGGAGTGGTGAGCTCCAGTGCCTGTGGGCACCCTTGCCACCCGTAGGAACGGTGCCTATTGAAGGCCCGTGGGCACATTCACCACGATGCCGCTTAATCATTATTATGGAGTTTTGTATCGAACCAGGACCGATGGTTAACAGAGCGAGAACCCTCGCCTATAAACATCGGGCAGTTCACCAGCATTGGTTCTATGTAAGTCTGTGGGTCTCTCAGTCTATGGCTATCTACGATGGACCTACAACGGACCTACGATGGACCTACCACGGACCTACGATGGACCTACCATGGACCTACGTTGGACCTACGATGGACATATGATGAACCTATGATGGACCTACGATGGACCTAATATGGACCTATGATGGACCTACCATGGACCTACCACGGACCTACGATGGACCTACCACGGACCTACGATGGACCTACCACGGACCTACGATGGACCTACGATGGACCTACCACGGACCTACCACGGACCTACGATGGACCTACCACGGACCTACGATGGACCTACCACGGACCTACGATGGACCTACGATGGACCTACGACGGACCTACGATGGACCTACCACGGACCTACCATGGACCTACGATGGACCTACGATGGACCTACCATGGACCTACCACGGACCTACGATGGACCTACGATGGACCTACGACGGACCTACGACGGACCTACCAGGGACCTATCAGGGACCTACCACGGACCTACGATGGACCTACGACGGACCTACCAGGGACCTATCAGGGACCTACCACGGACCTACGATGGACCTACGATGGACCTACGACAGACCTACCAATGACCTACGATGGACCTACCAGGGACCTACGATGGACCTATGATGCGTGCTGTTCAGCACGATGTCTGACGTTTCACCCCACGTGCCTGGGAGCTTCTGCAGGACCTGGCATGGATATTAAAATTGGTCACGGCATGTAAATGATTCTGCGTGTTTGTTTTGTTCAGTTCAAAAACAGCATCAGGAGTGACCTCTGCTTGGATCACGGAAACCCAATTGACAAGCACCCCCTACTGTACCACTGCCACGGAGAGCGTCCACAGGTACTGTACCACTACAATCCGATCCAATTGGCGCCACGGTGGCTAGAAGATGTGAACTCCCTCGCCTGGTATGCAAGAGGTCGTGGGTTCAATCCCGACCCTGATGCCTGCTGTGTATTTGGAGTTTGGTGTCTCTTTCGCTCTCCCCGTGGTCTCATTGATTTTTCTCCAGGTCCTCCGGTTTTTTCCCCTCCACATTTAGAATCAACGTCACCCGTTAAAAGTATTTGGCTACTGCTATAAATTTCCTCACAATGATGATGATAAGCCACTTCGTTGAGGCTAACATTTGTGATAGCTAGGTCGCTTCTGAAAGATCGTCTCTGACGTTCTTGCCCACAGCTGGCGATGAGGACGTCGTCCGACAAGATCATCGTGGGGCTCTACTCGGACCTGCAAGACCAGGTGACTACGTGCGTGGGCATGACCCCCTCGGGCGGGGGCAGCCCGGCCCTGGTCGGCTGCAGGGCCCCGCCGGACGACGAGCGCTTCCTCACCTTCAAGGTGTGTCGCGGACTGATGATGACGACGTAGCAGTGCGACATGACATGAATTGTTTCAGGGTGACTCCGTTGCACGCAGAGGGTTTTTTTTCTTCCCCATCCATCCTCGACAGCCTCCGTTGTTCAGGGTTCGTTCAACGGTTGTTCATGAGTGGCACTGCGGTGGCTAGGAGATGTTAACTTCCTCGCCTGGTATGCAGGAGGTCGTGGGTTGGATCCCAACCCCGACGATGCCTACTGCTGTATATTTGGAGTTTGCGTGTCTCTCTCCCCGTGGTGGCATGGATTTTTCTCCGGGTCCTCCGGTTATTCCCTCGACATCACGCATTTTAGAGCACTATAAATTTCCACGTGATGATAAGCCACTTCGTTGAGCTATCATTTGTGATGGCCAGGTCGCTTCTGAAGAGATTTGAAGATGTGTGACTGGGAAGTCCCCTTGACCTCGAAGGGCAAGGAGTTCCACAGGTTAGGTGTCCCAATTGGAAAGGCACCGTCACCACGCTCCAAGTGTAAAGCCTCGAGACCGTGGGGACAGCGAGCAATGCACAATCCGAGGATCTTGATGATCTCGATGGATTATTTGTGGCTGAAGGAGGTCGTGAATGTAGTCCATTAAAGGCCTTGAACACCAGCAAGAGAATCTTAAAATCAATACGGGTACGGACAGGCAGCCAGTGAAGGGACAGGAGCCCAGGTGTGTGATGTGAGATCCTTAAAGGGTTGTCCCCAGTATACCAGGCGAGGTTAGTGAACATCTCCGAGCCACAACGTCTCTCAGTCGCAGACCGGCGAAATGAAGACCAAGGATGGCACCCGGTGCCTGGAGGCGCTGGAGGCCCAGGAGAACCAAGCGGAGCTCGTTCTGCGTCCCTGCAGCGGCCAAAAGTGGCGCTTCGAGTACTTCAAACCCATCAGCAGCCCGTCGTAAAGCCCACGGAGCACCGTGGTGCCGGCTGGGACTGCTGCTGCTGCACTGCTACCGCTTGCTGGGAAACCGCGGCCACTTGCAATCGCTTCGGTTTGCCGGTTCTGTCTCCAGCGGTTTTGGCATGAGGAAACCGGCAAATCGGTTGCTCAGTTGGGGGGGGGGGGGGGGGGGGGGGAGGGCTTATGGTATTTAAACTAAACTCTTTTTTATTTTACCAGGTAAGGTGCACTGAGCTATGTAGCTCTTTGTCAGATCACAAATGATAGCTCAACGAAGTGGCTTATCGTCATCATGTGGAAATTGATAGCAGCAGCAAAATACTCTTAAACGCACGATGTTGATTCTAAATGTGGAGGGAAAAACCGAAGGACCTGGAGAAAGAGCCACACGACCACGGGGAGAAAATGAAAATTCCAAATATACCTGGGTAAAGGGTCAGGATCAAACCCACGACTTCCTGGAGTCCAGGCGAGCTAGTTAACATCTCCTAGCCACTGCAGCACCACCACCCTTTATTGTTGTTGTTGTCCGTGGGACCAGGGGACACCAGAGGCAGGAAGGAGCCCGTCGATTGAGCGCCGGCGTAGAACAAGAAACGTTACAACGCCGAGTAGGACGTCGTCAGCAATGTTAGCCATAGAAGTTTGTTGCGTTGGATCGCATGAACATACATGTCTTTAAACCCCGCCGCCACCACCACGTGACACAGCATATTAGTGAGGTCCAATCGTTAAACCCCGCAGCCACCACCACCTGACACAGCATATTAGTGAGGTCCAATCTTTAAACCCCGCCACCACCACCACCTGACACAGCATATTAGTGAGGTACAATCTTTAAACCCCGCCACCACCACCACCTGACACAGCATATTAGTGAGGTCCAATCTTTAAACCCCGCCATCACCACCTGACACAGCATATTAGTGAGATACAATCTTTAAACCCCGCCACCACCACCACCTGACACAGCATATTAGTGAGATGCAATATTTAAACGCCGCCACCACCACCACCTGACACAGCATATTAGTGAGGTCCAATCTTTAAACCCCGCCACCACCACCACCTGACACAGCATATTAGTGAGGTCCAATCTTTAAACCCCACCGCCACCACCACGTGACACAGCATATTAGTGAGGTCCAATCTTTAAACCCCGCCACCACCACCACAGCATATTAGTGAGGTCCAATCTTTAAACGCCGCCACCACCACCACCACGACCTGACACAGCATATTAGTGAGGTCCAATCTTTAAACCCCGCCACCACCACCACCTGACACAGCATATTAGTGAGGTCCAATCTTTAAACCCCGCCACCACCACCACGTGACACAGCATATTAGTGAGGTCCAATCTTTAAACCCCGCCACCACCACCACCACCACGTGACACAGCATATTAGTGAGGTCCAATCTTTAAACCCCGCCACCACCACCTGACACAGCATATTAGTGAGGTCCAATCTTGATTTGAAGCTTTCCGTGACTGCAGGAATCCATATTCTTTGGTTCTTTCGGTAAAGTCATCACGTAGCTAGAAAAATAAAACAAAAAATAAAATAAATCACGACGTTTCGATCACAACTCAAGCGGTCGTCCTCAGGCGGTAAAAAAATAATCCAGCAGTGGAACTGCTGAACCAGCGAGAGTGTAGTAAAGTTTGTCACGTAAACAAAACGTGCCAATTCGTTACGAGTTCAGCACGCACCGGTTGTGTTAGGAGAGTAAACCCACAACATTCACAATTCGATCAGCATCATCATCAGGCTGACAGCCAGAGTTTATTTAACATAAAGAAACTTTATTGAACATTTTCACAGCTGTAACTTATGACAAGGCCCTCCGTCCCGTCTCACTCGACGACGCCGTGCAAAAACAACAAAGTGTTTACAAAAACAAAGTGTTTGTTTACAAAAACGAAATTCCTTCAAGGTGTTCTGCTATGGGGGCTGAACAACAACACGACGCAGAGTCGCAATAAAACTGAGCGCTCCATCTCTACAGAGGTGGGTGGGCGATGCACAGCCCCAATACAGGGCTCATGGGGGGGGGGGGGGGGGGGTGTGGGGGGAGAGTTTTCAAGGGGTGGGTGGAGGGAGGGGTCACTGGTACAAAAACAATTCTGTGATCTTAACCTCAAAAAAATTTGGCTAAATTGAAAACCTCTACGTGTCCACCACGTGTGTGTGGTGTGAGAGATGCATGTATGTACAACAACGTCCAGACGGTTCGTCTTGAACTAAAATACAATCAAACGTGCAAGCGGCGTTGATGCAGGTTTAGCGGGGAACGGTTTAGACCGGGGGGGGGGGGGGGGGGGGAGGTCAACCAATTCCATAAAAAACCGCGACCTATTTCAAGAGCTGTGATGCGATGTCGTGAATACTGCAGACCGCAGTCATGAAGAAGGTTGCGGAGCGGCCACTACTGGAGCTGCACGCAGGTGCCCACCCCTCATTTAGGGCCGAGGGTGGGGGTCAGGGTACTCACTTCTCTCTGCTTGACGATGCTCGGAACGGTTTTGGCCAAAACGCTCAGCGGTGCTGCCTCAAAACGCATGGTGGGAGGGGCGGGCGGGCGGGCGGTCGCCAGGCGATCCGTGTGGCACACCCTCGCTATGATCCGTGACTTTTATGTGCCCCAATGCGTAATGGAAACCCACATCGCCAGTTGGCACGTTTGTTTTTTCTGGCGATGTTACCCAACCATCCGGGTAGGCGTCTGCAGGCCAGACTTTGTGGAGGGATGATGGTTACTGTGACGATGGTGGCGATTATGGTTACTGCGGTAATGATGAAGATGGTCGTGATGGCTATTGCGACGATGGTTATTGCGGTCGCTGGATTCGTTTGTCCAAGTAAAGCTCGGCAAAGTCGAACGACCTTCTGTGTTGCCCTGCCTCGACAAACATCACCCACACACTCAGACCCACAGCCCTCTCATGCCACGTGGAATGGATGGTGGGACCACCACCGCCGTCACCACCACCGCCGATCGCCGTACCTGTGCTGGTGTAACCACCGGACACCGCTACTGGGTGGCACAGAGGTGGCCGGAAGTTGCCGCATTCAAAGAAAGTTGACACTGTCGCTTTGACTGCCGGGGAGAGATGGAATCGAATCGGCGCCCCTCTCCTCTCTGGATTGCCGGTGACACCACCGTGACAGCACCACCACCGTGACAGCACCACCACCACCGTGACAGCACCGTGACAGCACCACCACCACCACCAGGGCACTTTGGACAGCTCCACGTAGGTTTGTTAACACTGAGAGGTAATGGCTGCCATGGCCACCAAATGCTGAGCGGTCACCGTTTGGAACCCCCGATCCAAACAAATCACTTGTAACCAACGCGTGCGTGCGTGCATGCGTACTGAGCTTAAGTCTTGTAACCAACGCGTGCGTACGTACCGAGATTGTCTTATAACCAACGCGTGCGTGCGTACGTGCACGGTTTGACTTCTTCCGCCGCTGTAACGTAGCCAACCTCTAACACTCACAATGGCGATAAAAAACCCCCCAATGTCCCAACCCCCCAAACTCCCAAACGCGTGGGTCGCAACTCCTTAGAACGGCGTAAGACTTGCGACGCGGACCCAGACGCACGCCGCAACAAAAAAACATTGACTCGTCTCCCAAGGGTTAAACTGTTTCACGCGTAGGAGCAGTCGTAGGGGCTTTTGCGACCAAATGTTGTTTCAATAGCGTTAGATGGTGTAAATGTAAATGCGTCGTTAAACCCGCCAACACCGCCCGACGCAGCCAATTAGCAAAGGTTTCTCGCGTCAACAAAACGTGTCAATTAGTTCAGCATTAACCGGTTGTGTTGGGAGAGTACACCCACAACACTTACAATGCGAGTACCATTACGTTCCACCGGTAATCACATTGTCATCCAGCATCCGTCAGGCGACAGCCACGATTCTGTCTGTCGCGGCGTGAGGAGGCTGGCGTGTGCTCAACTAGTCACCAATTGGCACGTTTCATTTACCCTGACAAACACTTCACTTGATTGGCCGCGTCGGCTGGTGGTGGCGGGTTTAAACGATGCGATCTAACCCACCAAAAAAAAACACCTCGTGGGTAAACAAAACTACTTCACAATAAAACTCAACCCCGTTCCCCGTGTAGTGCGTGACATCACAGGCGCGGCCCAACGCGGCCGCAAGCGTACAGAGAGGCGTGATCAGTCGTCACGGCGATCTCGAGATCCCCTCTCCGCCACAAAGCAGTCGCGTGCAGAGAGGCGTGATCAGTCGACACGGCGATCTCGAGATCCCCTCTCCGCCACAAAGCAGTCGCGGACGGATTGGGAGGGGCACCACAGTGGCCATGAGATGTTAACTCCCTCGCCCGGTATGCAGAAGGTCGTGGTTTTGACCCCGACGCCTGCTGCTGTATATTTGGAGGCTGCGGTGCCCACCCCCCCCCCCCCCCCCCCTCTCTCTCTCTCCCTGTGGTCGCGTGGATTTTTCTCCGGGTCCCTCCGTTTTTTTTCCCCCTCCACATTCAGAATCGACGTCACGCGTTCGGAGTATTTGGCTGCTGCTACCAATTCCCACGTGGTGATGATGATGATGATAAGCCGCTTCGTTGAGCTATCATTTGTGATGGCCAGGCCGCTTCTGAAAAAGAGTTACATAGCTCAGCGGGCCTTTACCTGGAGCAACTGATTGCTCACGTGCAGTGTGATGTAATACAATGCATTACCTTGCAATGCGGTACAATCCAATGCAGTATGGTACAATACGATGTAATACAATACAAAGCATGACATTGCAATGTATTACAATATAATACGATGTGATACAAAACAATGTATAACAACGTGATGTGATACAACGCAATGTATGACAATGTAATGCGATAAAATATAATACGTTATGATACAAAGTAATGCGATAAAATATAATACGATGTGATACAACGCGATTTAAAACAGCGAACAGAAAGCAAGCCCATCTCAAGCCGCTGAACAAGAGTGGGGGGCCGAGGGTGGGCCGAGGGTGGGCCGGGCCCTGTAGCCGTGGAGTTAACTTGGTAACGGGGTCATTGTAGTGGGCACTGGGGTAGAAGGATCATCGGTGGAGAGGGTGGCTCAGAGTTCACAGGTCACGGGGCCTGGGTTGCAGGTCAGGGTTTCAGCCGAGATTACACCGGGGGGGGTCTCGTAGACTCCCACGGAGACCCACAGACTGACAGAGCCAGCGACTCGGACTCGAGAGCCAGAGAGAGCCAGAGAGAGCCAGAGACGCGCACAGAGACGCATAGAGTCACAGAGACCCAACGACTCATATTGGTACCCATGAGGGAGAGACAACCATAGATCCCTCTGCGAGTCCGTGGGCCTCTGTTAAGAGGGGAGACGCGGAACACAACGGGGGGATGAGCGATTCTCTGAGCTGACGAACCGCTGTTCGAGCGACGTGGTGGGCGCCAAGCGGCCAGACAGAAAACCCGGGTAGCGGATCGCTCGCGAGCCCAGATCGCTCGCGAGCTCTGATCGTTCGTGTTACTGTGCAAGAGGCAGGGGAGGGGGAGGGAGGGAGGGATGGAGGGGCATTGGTGAAATGTAACTTGAAATGTATTAGTGGGTGGGAATGAAACTGAATCATTATTTAGCATCGGTGCAAAGTTAAAAGTAGTCAAGAAAAAGTCTAAGAAATGAAACTGAAGCGAGGGGAGCACGGCGCCCAACCGCGATCGGATTATCCGGACCAGCGGGCCTCCCCTAGGTTGACTCGGCCTCAAAACGTCGTGAGAGGGGGAGACAAAGGCGTGGTGCCGGTCACCCACCCTGCCGGGCCCTTCGCCGCTACTCGCTACTTAACAGCCCTTGCCCCTGTTGAGGCTACACGGGGGATCTTGTTTTCTGCGCGCGTGCGCGAGACCGGATTTGTTAAAACTTTAAATCGACTCCGTTTAAACCAAAGCACCTCCCATGGCCCGCCCAAGTGCAAAGTAAACGCACCACCAGAGGGCCGGCACGCGCCAACCCCCCGCACGCGCCAACCCCCCGCACGCGCCAACCCCCCGCACGCGGAGGGCGGTGGCACGGCGTAGCGGTCGGCACACCGGGCGCTACGGAGGCCGGCGACCCGAGATAAACTCTCCCGCTCCGCGGGCGAAGCCGAAGCAAATGTGCCAGAGACGAGTGCCCGGCGGCTTGCGGCGTGTAAACGTTGCCCGCCGAGGGGGAGGCGGCTGGAGCCTGCGGTGGTCGCTGGCCCGCACCGACGTGGATCCCCCCGTGCGCCGTGGTGGCCTCGATGGCCGCCGCTCGCCATCGGCGCTCGCCGCGACGGCTTTGCGTGGGCTGTGCCGAGGGGGCGGGGCGAGGGATGTTCACCTTCGCGCGTTTTCCTCGGCCGTGGTAGAAAAATAAGGCGTTTAAAAAAAAACGATCGACACTTTCCCCCCCCCCCCCCGAATGGTAGTGAGCTCATTGACTAATAACTTAGAACGCCAAACGTACGCACAAATTATTTCGCAAACCGAAACGTAGCCGACCGAGGTGCGAAACACAACAACAACACAACAACAACACAAAAACAACAACACAAAACACAACAACGTACAAATTGTGGCAACACACAACAACGTCCCTCACCTAACCCCGCCCCTCCAACTCCCAGACAGACGCAGCGTCGCAACTCCTCAAATCCGCTGGAAATGCTCGGCCACGTCCGTGGACGCTTCTGTAGATTTTTTTAAATCGACGACGGCACCAAAGGCGGCCGGCGGCGGTGCCGCTGCCCACGGCATAGGCCCGGAAGGCGGCTCCTTAATCCCCAACGCCCACGACGACAAGCGGGCATAAATAAGGGAGCGTGCACGCTCGTGCCCGCGAGAGGAGGCCGAGCCTCTTGGCATGCTCGACGCCGGCTCCGCAGGCACAGGTCGTTGTGGTTCTATCCGTGCCACGCCGCTGACGTCGTGCGTGGCGATGGGGGGCGGGGGGCGGGGGGGGGGGGGGGGGGGGGGGGAACGAGCGGAGACGCCCGAAGCGTCGCGACCGGCTTATGCGGCGGACTATGACGGATGAAGAAGAGGAAGAGGAGGAGGAGGAGGTAGGCGGTGGAGAATGAGGAGGAAGCAAAGGAGGTAGGAGGGGGCGGACGGGAAGCATCAGACCGCCAGCACGGCCTCCTCCTCCTCGCCCACGTCGTCCACCTCGTCGCGCTCCTTCAGGGAGCTCTTGAGCCGGTTGATCTCAAACTCGTGCAGCAGCCGCTGGGTCAGCAGCTTCTCGCGCTTCATCTTGTCCTTGATGTCCTGCGGCACGTCCGGGATGAGGTACGCGATGAGGAACTTCGCCACGAACACCGCGTGCTGGCGGGAGGAGAGAGGGGGAGACCACGGGGGGAGGGGGGAGACCACGGGGGGAGGGGGGAGACCACGGGGAGGAAGACGGCGATGGGAAGTACGTGGGGATTGTCACGGACACCCATTCCACCTCGTCACAGTTCCCTGTACCACCTCGTCACGGACACCCGTTCCACCTCGTCACGGTCCCCCCGTTCCACCTCGTCACGGTTCCCTGTACCACCTCGTCACGGTTCCCTGTACCACCTCGTCACGGTTCCCTGTACCACCTCGTCACGGTTCCCCGTACCACCTCGTCACGGTTCCCTGTACCGCCTCGTCACGGTTCCCCATACCACCTCGTCACGGTTCCCCGTTCCACCTCGTCACCGTTCCCCCGTTCCACCTCGTCACGGTTCCCCGTACCACCTCGTCACGGTTCCCCGTACCTCCATGACGATGATGAAGGCGAGCTTGGCGGCCAGGATGTGCCAGTAGCGGGTGCTGAACCGGTACCTCTTGGGGTGCTCTGGGGGGTAGCGGAAGTCCCGGTAGCTGTGGGGACGGTGGGGAGGCACGCGGCGTGACTCACGGCATCACTGATGATGGTCACTTTGCTGCTGCCGCCGCTCATGATGGTTGTGAATATGATGACAATGCGATAATGCTGATAATTACGAATGACAATGCTGCTGCTGATAATGACGGCAACGCTGATGATGCTGCTGATGACAACGCTCCTAATGATGACAATGCTGATGCTGAAGCAGATTACGCTGATGCTGCTGATGACAATGACGATGCTGCTGACGCTTCCGATGATGACGCCGAGATGGCGCTGCCGATTATGAAAATGCTGACGATTACGCTGCCGACGACGACCATGTTAATGATGGCGCTGCCGACGATGACAATGCCGCTGATGTTGCCGCTGACGACGACGCCCGGCCCGAGTCCCTCTCACCGGCAGGTAACGTCGGTCTCGTTGCTGAACCAGTAGGGCAGCGCGGCGGCGTCCGGGCGGTTGCGCTCCTGGAAGTCGGCGATGTGAAAGACCGAGAGGCTGTAATCCACGTAGCCCTCCATCGAGTGCTCCTCCGTGCCGTTGAGCAGGCTATGGTGCGAGTAGTAGTACACGAGGCGGGGAAGCATGTCCGACGTGAAGGCCACGATGATGGCCTAAAGGGTGGGGAGGGGTGAGGGGGCAGAAACGCCACCGTGGGAGGACTCGCACACTCAATGGCCCACTAGGCCTGCCCCATCCGTAATCAACTAGCCACTAGGCCTGCCCCATCCGTAATCAACTAGCCACCAGGCCTGTCCTATCCGTAACCAACTAGCCACTAGGCCTGTCCCATCTGTAATCAACTAGCCACCAGGCCTGTCCTATCCGTAACCAACTAGCCACTAGGCCTGTCCCATCTGTAATCAACTAGCCACTAGGCCTGTCCCATCCGTAATCAACTAGCCACTAGGCCTGTCCCATCTGTAATCAACTAGCCACTAGGCCTGTCCCATCCGTAACCAACTAGCCACTAGGCCTGTCCCATCTGTACTCAACTAGCCACTAGGCCTGCCCCATCTGTAATCAACTAGCTACTAGGCCTGTACCATCCGTAATCAACTAGGCACTAGGCCTGCCCCATCCGTAATCAACTAGCCACTAGACCTGCCCCATCCGTAACCAACTAGCCACTAGGCCTGTCCCATCTGTACTCAACTAGCCACTAGGCCTGCCCCATCTGTAATCAACTAGCTACTAGGCCTGTACCATCCGTAATCAACTAGGCACTAGGCCTGCCCCATCCGTAATCAACTAGCCACTAGACCTGCCCCATCCGTAATCAACTAGCCACTAGGCCTGCCCCATCCGTAATCAACTAGCCAATAGGCCTGCCCCATCCGTAATCAACTAGCCACTAGGCCTGTCCCATCCGTGACCAACTAGCCACTAGGCCTGCCCCATCCGTAATCAACTAGGCACTAGGCCTGCCCCATCCTTAATCAACTAGCTACTAGGCCTGCCCCATCTGTAATCAACTAGCTACTAGGCCTGTCCCATCCGTGACCAACTAGCCACTAGGCCTGCCCCATCCTTAATCAACTAGCGACTAGGCCTGTCTCATCTGTAATCAATTAGCCACTAGGCCTGCCCCATCCGTAATCAACTAGCCACTAGGCCTACCCCATCCGTAATTAACGTGCCACTCGGCCTGCCCTATCCGGAATCAACTAGCCACTAGGCCTGGCCCATCCGTAATCAACTAGCCACTAGGCCTGTCCCATCCGTAATCAACTAGCCATTAGGCCTGTCGTATCTGTAATCAACTAGCCACTAGGCCTGTCCCATCCGTAATCAACTAGCCACTAGGCCTGCCCCATCCGTAATCAACTAGCCACTAGGCCTGTCCCATCCGTAATCAACTTGCCACTAGGCCTGCCACATCCGTAATCAACTAGCCACTAGGCCTGTCCCATTCGTAATCAACTAGCCATTAGGCCTGTCCCATCCGTAATCAACAAGCCACTAGGCCTGTCCCATCCGTAATCAACTAGCCATTAGGCCTGTCCCATCCGTAATCAACTAGCCACTAGGCCTGCCCCATCCGTAATCAACTAGCCACTAGGCCTGTCCCATCCGTAATCAACTAGGCACTAGGCCTGCCCCATCCGTAATCAACTAGCCACTAGGCCTGTCCCATCTGTAATCAACTAGCCACTAGGCCTGCCCCATCCGTAATCAACTAGCCACTAGGCCTGCCCCATCCGTAATCAACTAGCCACTAGGCCTGTCCCATCCGTAATCAACTAGCCACTAGGCCTGCCCCATCCGTAATCAACTAGCCACTAGGCCTGTCCCATCTGTACTCAACTAGCCACTAGGCCTGCCCCATCCCTAATCAACTAGCTACTAGGCCTGCCCCATCCGCAATCAACTAGCTACTCGGCCTGTCCCATCCGTAATCAACTAGGCACTAGGCCTGCCCCATCCGTATTCAACTAGCGACTAGGCCTGTCCCATCCGTAATCAACTAGCCACTAGGCCTGCCCCATCCGTAATCAACTAGGCACTAGGCCTGCCCCATCCGTAATCAACTAGCCACTAGACCTGTCCCATCCGTAATCAACTAGCCACTAGGCCTGTCCCATCCGTAATCAACTAGCCACTAGGCCTGCCCCATCCAGCGTCTACAGTCTGCAGATCAATCACCGCTCAGCATGCGCACACATGCTGCATCAAAAGGCTCGCTGTGATTGTCTGGTGGGACAGAGAGAGAAAGAGAACTCTTGTCCCTGCATCTCACTAACATTTTTCAGAAGCGACCAGCCTATATCACAAATCATAGCACAACGAAGTGGCTTATCACGTGGAAAATGTATTTCAGCAGCCAAATACTCAAAACGTGTTGAATCTAAATGAAGAGGGAAAAACTGGACAGGCAAACTCCGAATATACAGCAGGCGTCAGGGTCGCGATCGAACCCGCGACCTCCTGCACAACAGGCGAGATAGTTAACATCTCCGAGCCACCGAGGTGCCTCGATTGCCGGCGATGGTCACGACGAATCCGCCGGGGGGGGGGGGGGGGGGGTGGTGGCGGGGCGTTGGGGATCCAGCCCGGGTGAGGGCCGTCGTTTCGGGCGAGCGCCCTCCGCACTCACGTTGGTGACAACGGAGAGGATGGCGATGGAGGAGAGGATCTGCTGCCAGACGCCGATGTTGCGGGCGTGCGACGGCGTGGGCCGACGGAACTGGGTGGTGAACTTCCACGCATCCACGCGGATCTCGATGATGTTGTTGAGGAGCGCGAGGAGCGGCGCCAGCGGGAAGGAGACCACGAAGAGCGTCGTGAAGCCGAACTGCACGACTGTGACACGCGGCGCCGGGGGCGGCACACCTGCGGTTAGCGCGGCCGGCTACGTGCGGTGCCAAGGGAGTTCAACACACGCACGCGGTGATGGCCACGGTGGTGATGTTGAGGAGGTACCTGCATGATGCGGAAGTGGGGGATGGTGGCGACGCGCCCATCTGGAACGCTGTTTCTTTCACTGGGAGCTACGCACTTTTAAATCATCATCATCATCATCTCGATGAACAAACTCATTTCTTGAGGACCGATTTTCGTGTTTAGTTTGTGGTCCGATGATGCGGTGCCAAAGAAGTTCAATATGCATACAAAGGTTCCCTCCCACCCCCGCGAGGTTCCCTCCCACCCCCGCGAGGTTCCCTCCCACCCCCGCGTGATACGTTTACCTTACGCAGATTTCTAATCGACGACGGCGGTAGCACGGCGCAAACCACCAACGCCGGCCGCTTCCCCAACGAGGAGGTGTGTGTGCGCGTGTGTGTATGTGTGCGTGTGTGTATGTGTGTGTGTATTTGTGTGTGTGTGTATTTGCGTGTGTGTATTAGTCCGGCAAAACAAGCCCCTACCTCCTCGCGGTGCCGGACGGGCAACTCTGTCGTGGACAGTGCTGTGGGGAGAGGGCCAATTCCGATTGGCTCCTCCCCTCATGGCGTCTGTGACCACCACAGGGGCTAAACGGGGGCTCTGGATGGGTGCGAGGGGCTGGTAACCCCTCCACCTTTAAAAAATTTACCACTAAACCACGTCTAAAATATCTAACTAATAAGCTTGTGCCGGAGGCCCCGGGGGACAGGCGTCTATGACGTCTCCTGGCCAAACCCCAATTGGCGGAGCCAGGAGATTGAATCTCTACCCTCAGGGCTCCTCCAGAAATAACGAAAAGCCACTTCGTGTGGCCACGTGGAATGTTCGAATGCTCACTGCGGAGGAGAGGCTGCCACTCTGTCAGGAGCTGGACCGGTACCGCCTGGATCTCTGTGGCATTCAGGAGGTCCGGTGGACCGGTTCTGGCTCTTGCCACCATGAGGGGTGGACAGTCCTCTACTCGGGGCAGCAGACTTCCAAACATCCTTTGAACAAAAGAATGGAGTGGGCGTGGGAGCGTGGCGGTGAGGTGTGGGAAGCTGTAAGCCCCAGGCTACTTTGGGCTCACCTTCCCATCAACCGGAGGCGAGGAGTGGTGGTCATGGTTACTTATGCCCCCACCGAAGATGAACATCCGTGGAGGAATGCAGGTAAAGCTGATGAGTCAGATGCCTTCTATGACCTCCTGTCACAGGTGCTGGCTAAAGTGGCCCCTCGGGATAGTCATCTTGGTGGGTGACTTCAATAACCGAGTTTGTCATGATGCTGGCACCTGGTCTGGAGTGATTGGAGGGTATGGGCCAGATCAGCTCAATAACAACGGTAGGAGGCTGCTAGAATTTTGTGCAGCCCATGGGCTTGTAATTACCAACACGCTGTTCCGGCATCGGCGCATCCACACAACATTATGGATGCATGCCGGGTCAAGAACATCTGCTGTACTACGTAGTGACGGACCAGCGGATGCGAGCCCATGTCCTTGACACCAGGACCTACCGTGGAGCTGATCTGCCCTCTGACCATCGACTTGTCATCTGTAAGATGCGCCTGCCATTCTTCCGCTCCGGTGGTGGGTGTACACCCAGGACCCCATTCCAACCTAAAGTGGCCTGGTCTCAGTCATCTGATGAAAGTTTCAAGCGAGAATTCCATCATCGCTTGTGGCTGGGATTGGCATCGTCCCCCACTCCTCCTGATGTCGAGGGTAAATGGGCGAGGTTGAGGACTGTCACTCATGCAGCTGTATTGGCTGCTTTGGGTACGCGGTCCAGACCTCCCCAGAGACCCTGGCTGACAGAGGAGGTGTTCAGGATAGTTTAGAAAAAGCGACAGGCCCACTGTCATCGGCTACAGAATCCCACGTCAGAGAATGAGGAGACTTACCGCAGCCTTCGCTCGGAGGTTCGGAGAGCCGTGAGGCGCTGCAAGGATGGGTGGTGGTCGCGGGTTGCTGAGGAGATGGAGTCTGCCTCAGTGGCCCGCGATCACAAATCTATATTTAATTCCATCAAAAAAGTAACTGCAGCGCCACACCTATTACCATCATTAGGGGAAAAAACGGTGATCCAATCTCCGACCCCCAGGAACAGGTTTGCAGATTTGCTGAGCATTTCTGTGAGGTCCTGGGGGAGGGAAAATCCCTCAGCCAGGAAAACATCGTGGCACAAAGTTGGGATGACACTGCTGAGGCTGTGGTGCCTCAAATATTGGAAGTCACCCCCTGTGAGTGGCTGGCTGAGGTGCCATCTGTTGAGGAAGTACTGAAGGCGATCCAGAGTTTGAGACCAGGAAAGGCAGCGGGCAGAGATGATCTCCCAAGCAAAATGCTGAGGGAGGGTGGCGTTTGTGCACAGACTGCCCTATATGACATCATAAGAACAGTCTGGACTACTGGACAGGTTCCGCAGGATTGGAAGGATGCCCTGGTGGTCCCCCTCTTTAAGAAGGGGGACCGCACAGACTGTAACAACTACAGGGGCATCTCACTCCTCAGTGTGCCGGGAAAGGTCCTGGCAAGGATTATTCAACATCGCCTTGCCAGGCACGCTGAGGAGCCCCAATGCGGTTTCAGGAAAGGGTGGTCCTGCACAGATGCCATATTTTCTGTCCGTCTGCTACAGCAGAGGTGTAGGGAATTCCAGCAAGACCTACATCTCTGCTTTATTGACCTGGTCAAGGCCTATGATACCATCAGTAGGCCTGGGCTCTGGGTTGTTCTTCGTGCTTTTGGAGTCCCTGACCCTCTGCTCACGATCATTAAGGACCTACATGATGCTGAGTGGGCCCGGGTAAAACTACGTGGCCGGGAGTCAGAGCCATTCCCTGTACACCTTGGGGTGCGACAGGGATGTCCTCTGGCTCCCACATTATTTAACATGAATAATATTGGTCGCGAAAGCCTACGTGTTAAACTGATTTAACATCTATTTTGACCACGTAGTTCATGAAGCCTTAAATAGCTGTACCGGGGGAATCTCCATTTGGTACAGATACAATGGGAGGCTGATTGATGCCCAGGTGCGGTCAAGGGATGGCTCCCTATTTCTCAACCGCGTTCTGTATGCCGATGATTTGGTAATAGCTGCTCATTCAGAGGAGGAGTTGGAGATGCTGCTGCTGAGACTGGAACGTGCCACTTAGAGATGGGGCCTTACCATCAGCCAAACCAAAGTAAGCACCTGCCTGGGTATTTTGTACCATCGGACACTCCACCCCCACAACTTCCAATCGGTGATGGGGCAGTTGTGGAGAGAGTGGAGAGTTTCCCATACCTGGGCAGTGTGCTTATGACCGGCTCCAGTTTAACAGCAGAGGTCTCACTCCGAATCAGTCGAGCGGCGATATCTTTTCATCGGTTACGTAACGCTGTGTGGAAGCTACCTGGTCTGTCGCTCCGCACTAAGCTTCAGATCTTCTCGGCCATGGTCATTCCTCCCTTCTCTACGCTTGCAAAACGTGGACCCCCCTAATGGAACATCTTCGCCGGTTAGAAACATTTAGGCTAGCCTGCCTACGATCCATCCTGGGTTTAACCAGGCTGGATTGTATGAGGAGCTCACAAATCCTTGAAAGCTCTGGGCAAGGTCCCATCGGTGAGCTCCTCCGGCAGGCAAGGCTGCCTTGGCTGGGTCATGTAGCCCGCATGCCCAACCACCGCATGCCGAAACAGCTTTTGTTCGGCCGGATCGAGGGGGCTAAACGGGGCGCGGCACGGGCTAGAGAAGAGATGGAGTGATGTGGTAGAGGAGAACGTGGAGCTGAGTGGACTTGCCGATGACTGGTACCAGCGGTGTCAAGATCAGCCGCGGTGGAGGAGGCTCGTCAAGGACGCTACTGGGCAGTTGGAGGCAGTCGCCCTCCAACAACAATGGAGGGCGGAGGAGCGACGCTCACAACAACGAGCGGAGCGCCGGGTGGCTAAAGCACAGCAGGTTGGCACAGTAGGGGGCACAGGTGGTGCATCAGCCAGCCATCTCAGTCATCTCAGTCAGTCGACCCGTGGCACTTGGGTCTGCCCCGTGACCTTCTGCCAGTGGGCGTTCGACACTTCACGTGGCCTCAAGGTGCACATGGCCTGGCACAAGCGTCGTGGTGACGTCACCGCTACTCAGTGGCGAATGGCGGTTGTTGTATTTGTGTGTATTTGTGTGCGCGTGTTTGTGCATGTGTGTATTTGTGTGTATGTGTGCGTGTGTGCGTTCCGTGACCTGTCAGCGAGCGTTCGACACTTCACGTGGCCTTTAAGTACATTTGGCCTGGCACAAGCGCCGTGGTGACGTCATCGCCACCTAGTGGCGAATAGCGGTTGTTGTGTGTGTGGGGAGCGGTCGTGTAGTGGTTTGCGCTACACTGCGCTACGAACCTGGCGACCCGGGTTCCATTCCCGCTCACGGCCAACACCGATGACGATTATTTTAACTGGTCCTGGGCCTTCCCTAGGTCGACTCAGCCTCAAATGAGTACCTGGTGCGATGTGTAAACATCGCCACTGGGGAGAGAGACAAAGGCGGCCAACGTGGTATGGGCCACTCACCCACTCGTGCGCCGTGCCGGCCTTTATAAGTGCTACTCCCTAAAAGCACTTGCCCCTACAAGCTGTTAAGGCTACACGGGGGATCTTTGCGCGTGTGTGTGTACGTGTGTGTGTGTGTGGACTTCTTTCGCACCGTATGTAGCCAACCGTACTAATCAGAGGTGGCAAGGAAGGACAACAAACTAAAGACAACAAAACGCAGTTCTAAAGACATCTCCGGAGGACCCGGAGAAAAATCCACGCGACCACGGGAAGAGAGAGAGAGAGAGACGCAGGCTCCAAATATTCAGCAGCAGACGTTAGGGTTAGCATCGACCCCACGACCTCCTGCATACCAGGCGAGGGAGATAACATCTCCTAGCCACCGTGGGGCAATTCGCACAGGTTGGCTACAGTACGGTGCCCAGGAAGTTCATCGTGCGGTCCACACATACCAAAGGCCAACATTTAGGCCGCACAGGGATAGACAATGAATAAAGTTTCTGGTCGTAGCCGTAGCCCTAGTCGTCCTCGTCGTAGTCCTTGACGTTGTCGTGGTCTTCATCGTAGTCGTCATGGCCGTCGTGATGACAACAATAAAGATGAAAGCCAACGTACTCATCTCCAGGTACTCGTGGAAGAGTCCGAGCCGGCCCAGGTCCTGAAGGTTGTAGTCGTGCTCCCAGCGAGTGCGGATGCGCGTGTGCGTCGCTTTGCGCGCGCTGCGGCTCGACAGCTTGTTCATCACCCACCTGGGGGGCGCACGCGCGGTCAGCGGCAGTTACAGCAGCAGCAGTAGTAATAGTAGTAGCAGCAGTAGTAATAGCAGTAGCAGCAGTAGTAATAGCAGTAGTAATAGCAGTAATAGTAGTAGTAATAGCAGTAGTAATAGCAGTAGCAGCAGTAGTAATAGTAGTAGCAGCAGTAGTAATAGCAGTAGTAATAGTAGTAGCAGCAGTAGTAATAGTAGTAGCAGCAGTAGTAATAGTAGTAGCAGCAGTAGTAATAGTAGTAGTAATAGCAGTAGTAATAGTAGTAGTAGCAGCAGTAATAGTAGAAGCAGTAGTAATAGTAGTAGCAGCAGCAGTAATAGTAGTAGCAGCAGTAGTAATAGCAGTAGTAGTAATAGTAGTAGTAGCAGCAGTAGTAGCAGCAGTAGTAATAGTAGTAGCAGCAGTAGTAATAGTAGTAATAGCAGTAGTAATAGTAGTAGCAGCAGTAGTAATAGTAGTAGCAGCAGTAGTAATAGTAGTAGTAATAGCAGTAGCAGCAGTAGTAATAGCAGTAGCAGAAGTAGTAATAGCAGTAGCAGCAGTAGTAATAGTAGTAGCAGCAGTAGTAATAGCAGTAGCAGCAGTAGCAATAGTAGTAGCAGCAGTAGTAATAGTAGTAGCAGCAGTAGTAATAGTAGTAGCAGCAGTAATAGTAGTAGTAATAGCAGTAGCAGCAGTAATAGCAGTAGCAGCAGTAGTAGTAGTAATAGCAGCAGTAGTAATAGTAGTAGTAATAGCAGTAGCAGCAGTAGTAATAGCAGTAGTAATAGCAGTAGTAATAGCAGTAGCAACAGTAGTAATAGCAGTAGTAGTAATAGTAGTAGCAGCAGTAGTAATAGTAGTAGCAGCAGTAGTAATAGTAGTAGCAGCAGTAGTAATAGTAGTAGTAATAGCAGTAGTAATAGTAGTAGCAGCAGTAGTAATCGTAGTAGCAGCAGTAGTAATAGTAGTAGCAGCAGTAGTAATAGCAGTAGCAGCAGTAGCAATAGTAGTAGCAGCAGTAGTAATAGTAGTAGCAGCAGTAGTAATAGTAGTAGCAGCAGTAATAGTAGTAGTAATAGCAGTAGCAGCAGTAGTAATAGCAGTAGCAGCAGTAGTAATAGCAGTAGCAGCAGTAGTAATAGTAGTAGTAATAGCAGTAGCAGCAGTAGTAATAGTAGTAGTAATAGCAGTAGCAGCAGTAGTAATAGCAGTAGCAGCAGTAGTAATAGCAGTAGCAGCAGTAGTAATAGCAGTAGCAGCAGTAGCAATAGTAGCAGCAGCAGTAGTAATAGTAGTAGCAGCAGTCGTAATAGCAGTAGCAGCAGTGGTAATGGTAGTAGCAGCAGTAGTAATAGTAGTAGCAGCAGTCGTAATAGCAGCAGCAGCAGTAGTAGCAGCAGTAGTAATAGTAGTAGCAGCAGTTGTAATAGTAGTAGCAGCAGTAGTAATAGCAGTAGCAGCAGTGGTAATAGTAGTAGCAGCAGTCGTAATAGCAGTAGCAGTAATAGTAGCAGCAGTAGTAAGAGTAGTAACAGCAGTAGAAGTAGGAGTAGCAGCAGTAGTAATAGTAGTAGCTGCAGTAGTAATAGTAGTAACAGCAGTAGAAGTAGGAGTAGCAGCAGTAGTAATAGTAGTAGTAGCAGCAGTAGTAATAGTAGTAGCAGCAGTAGTAATAGTAGTAGCAGCAGTAGTAATAGTAGTAGTAATAGCAGTAGTAATAGTAGTAGCAGCAGTAGTAATAGTAGTAGTAGTAATAGCAGTAGCAGCAGTAGTAATAGCAGTAGCAGAAGTAGTAATAGCAGTAGCAGCAGTAGTAATAGTAGTAGCAGCAGTAGTAATAGCAGTAGCAGCAGTAGTAATAGTAGTAGCAGCAGTAGTAATAGCAGTAGCAATAGTAGTAGCAGCAGTAGTAATAGTATTACAGCGAGGGGAAAAAAGTATTTGCCCACTGACAAAGAAATGATCAGTCTATAATTTTAATGGTAGGTTTATTTGAACAGTGAGACAGAATAACAACAACAAAATCCAGAAAAACGCATGTCAAAAATGTTATAACTTGATTTGCATTTTATTGAGGGAAATAAGTATTTGACCCCCTCTCAATCAGAAATATTTCTGGCTCCCAGGTGTCTTTTATACAGGTAACGAGCTGAGATTAGGAGCACTCCCTAGTGTGCTCCTAATCTCAGGTTAGGAGCACTCCCTAGTGTGCTCCTAATCTCAGGTAACAAGCTGAGATTAGGAGCACTCCCTAGTGTGCTCCTAATCTCAGCTCGTTACCTGTATAAAAGACACCTGTCCACAGAAGCAATCAATCAATCAGATTCCAAAGTCTCCACCCTGGCCAAGACCAAAGAGCTCTCCAAGGATGTCAGGGACAAGATTGTAGACCTACACCAGGCTGGAATGGGCTACAAGACCATTGCCAAGCAGCTTGGTGAGAAGGTGACAACAGTTGGTGCGATTATTCGCAAATTGAAGAAACACAAAAGAACTGTCAATCTCCCTCGGCCTGGGGCTCCATGCAAGATCTCACCTCGTGGAGTTGCAATGATCATGAGAACGGTGAGGAATCAGCTCAGAACTACACGGGAGGCACTTGCCAATGATCTCAAGGCAGCTGGGACCATTGTCACCAAGAAAACAATTGGTAACACACTACGCCGTGAAGGACTGAAATCCTGCAGTGTCCGCAAGGTCACCCTGCTCAAGAAAGCACATATACATGCCCGTCTAAAGTTTGCCAATGAACATCTGAATGATTCAGAGGACAACTGGGTGAAAGTGTTGTGGTCAGATGAGCCCAAATTGGAGCTCTTTGGCATCACCTCAACTCGCCGTGTTTGGAGGAGGAATGCTGCCTATGACCCCAAGAACACCATCCCCACCGTCAAACATTTCGATTGGCCATTCCCCTCATGGCAGATGTGGCCACCACAGCGGCCAAAGGGGGCTCTGGATGGGAGTGAGGGGGTGGTAACCCCTCCACCTTCAACTAATGACCACTAAACCACGAAATAAATATCCACCTAAGCTTGTGCCAGAGGCTCCGGGGGGACGGGCGTCTATGACGTCCCCTGGCCAACCCCCATTTGGCGGAGCCAGGAGACTGAATATTTACCCTCGGGGTTCCTTTAGAAACATCAAAAAGTCACTGCGGGTGGCCACGTGGAATGTTCGGATGCTCACTGCGGAGGAGAGGCTGCCACTCTGTCAGGAGCTGGACCGGTACCGCCTGGATCTCTGCGGTATTCAGGAGGTCCGGTGGACTGGCTCTGGCTCCTGCCATCATGAGGGGTAGACGTGTGTATGTTTGCGTGTGTGTGTGTGTACGTCATTGCGTGTTACGCACGGGAAGACCACTTCCTGGATGTTACCCCAGATCTGCTTTCCGACCATGATGATGGTGAGCTGGGTGGTAAGCTCCACCAGACAGCCGGCAGGCTCGCACTGCAACCGCACAACCACCACCACCACGGCACAACCACCACGTCAGGCAGCAGAACAACCCAATCGTGTCACCGCTCCCGTGGGCAAATACAAAACCACCACCGTTGCACCACCACCACGGCAGGCAGGCAACAACCAAATATTTGTGCAAATTTAAATAAAATCATTTAAATTTTACCAGGGAAGGCCAACTGAGTTAAAGATCACCGAAGTGGCGGCTCAGCAGCATCATCATCATCATCACGTGGACATTTATAGCAGCAGCCAAAACTCTGTTAACGCGTGGTGACGTCGATTCTAAATGTGGAGGGGAAAAACCGGAGGACCCGGAGAAAAATCCACGCAGTGACCACGGGGAAGAGACACGCAAACTCCAAATATACAGCAGCAGGCGTCACGGTCGGGGTTGAACCCACGACCTCCTGTATACCAGGCGAGGTAGTTAACATCTCCTAGCCACTGTGGCGATGATGATGGGAGACGCAGACTCCAAATATACATGCACCACCACTGCCGCCACACAACAACCACTCACCTCTCCCGCCATCAAACCAACCGCATCACTCAACCACTCATTCACCCATTGATTCACTTCCTCATTCACTCAACCACCAGCCCCACACACCCCAACTCACACCGCCAGCTTACTCAATCTTGGGATCACACACACACAATGACAAAGATCCCCTGTATAGCCTTTAACAGACTGTTGGGGCAAGTGCTGTTAGCGACCATCTATGAAGGCCGGCAAAGCTCACGAGGGGGTGGGTGGCCAAAACCTCGCCTTGTCTCCCCAGTGGCGATGTTTACACACTGCACCAGGTACTCTTTTAAGGATGAGTCGACGTAGGGGAGGCCCAGGAGCGGTTCAGAAAATTGTCACTGGTGTTGGCTGTGCATAGGAATCGAACTCGGGCCACCAGGTTCATAGTGCAGCATTCTAACCGCTACACTACCGCTCCTCAGACACACACACACAGACACACACACTCAGACACACACACTCAGACACAAAAACAACAACTGCAATTAGCCACTAGGTGGCGGTGACCTCACCACGGCGCTTGTGCAGGTCAAATGCACTTTAAGGCAACATGGAGTGTCGAACGCCCGCTGGCAGGTCACGGGGCAGACCCACAAACAACAACAACAACCGACATTCGCCACTAAGTGGCGGTGACGTCACCACGACGCTTGTGCCAGGCTATGTGCACCCTGAGGCCACGTGAAGTGTCGAACGCCCGCTGGCAGGAGGTCACGGGGCAGACCCAGGTGCCACGGGTCGACTGACTGAGATGACTGGCTGATGCACCACCTGTGCCCCCTACTGTGCCAACCTGCTGTGCTTTAGCCACCCGGCGCTCCGCTCGCTGTTGTGAGCGTCGCTCCTCCGCCCTCCGTTGTTGTTGGAGGGCGACTGCCTCCAACTGCCCAGTAGCATCCTTCACGAGCCTCCTCCACAGAGGCCGATCTTGACACCGCTGGTACCAGTCATCGGCAAGTCCACTCAGCTCCACGTCCTCCTGTACCACATCACTCCATCTCTTCTCTAGCCCGTGCCGCGCCCGCTTAGCCCCCTCAATCCGGCCAAACAAAAGCTGTTTCGGCATGCGGTGGCTGGGCATGCAGGCTACATGACCCAGCCATCGCAGCCTTGCCTGCCGGAGGAGCTCACCGATGGGACCCTGCCCAGATCTTTCAAGGATTTGTGAGCTCCTCACACAATCCAGTCTGGTTAAACCCAGGATGGATCGTAGGCAGGTCAGCCTAAATGTTTCTAACCGGCGAAGATGTTCCATTAGGGGGGTCCACGTTTCGCAAGCGTAGAGAAGGGAGGGAATGACCGTGGCCGAGAAGACCTGAAGCTTAGTGCGGAGCGACAGACCAGGTAGCTTCCACACAGCGTTACGCAACCGATGAAAAGATATTGCCGCTCGACTGATTCGGAGTAAGACCTCTGCTGTTAAACTGGAGCCAGTCATAAGCACACTGCCCAGGTATGGGAAACTCTCCACTCTCTCCACAACTGCCCCATCACCGATTGGGAGTTGTGGGGGTGGAGTGTCCGATGGTACAAAATACCCAGGCAGGTGCTTAGTTTTGGTGGGGCTGATGGTAAGGCCCCACCTCTTAGTGGCACGCTCCAGTCTCAGCAGCAGCGTCTCCAACTCCTCCTCTGACTGAGCAGCTATTACCAAGTCATCAGCATACATAACGTGGTTGAGCAATAGGGAGCCATCCCTTGACCGCACCCGGGCATCGATTAGCCTCCCATGATATCTGTACCATATGGAGATTCCCCCGGTACAGCTATTGAAGGCTTCACGAACTACGTGGTCAAAATAGATGTTAAATAATGTGGGAGCCAGAGGACATCCCTGTCGCACCCCAAGGTGTACAGGGAATGGCTCTGACTCCCGGCCACGTAGTTTTACCCGGGCCCGCTCACCATCATGAAGGTCCTTAATGATCGTGAGCAGAGGGTCAGGTACTCCAAAAGCACGAAGAACGACCCAGAGCCCAGGCCTACTGATGGTATCATAGGCCTTGACCAGGTCAATAAAGCAGAGATGTAGGTCTTGTTGGAATTCCCTACACCTCTGCTGTAGCAGACGGACAGAAAATATGGCATCTGTGCAGGACCGCCCTTTCCTGAAACCGCATTGGGGCTCCGCAAGCCTCTCCTCAGCGTGCCTGGCAAGGCGATGCTGAATAATCCTTGCCAGGACCTTTCCCGGCACACTGAGGAGTGAGATGCCCCTGTAGTTGTTACAGTCTGTGCGGTCCCCCTTCTTAAAAAGGGGGACCACCAGGGCATCCTTCCAATCCTGCGGAACCCGTCCAGTGGTCCAGACTGTTGTTATGATGTCATATAGGGCAGTCTGTGCACAAACGCCACCCTCCCTCAGCATTTCGCTTGGGAGATCATCTCTGCCCGCTGCCTTTCCTGGTCTCAGACTTCGGATCGCCTTCAATACTTCCTCAGCAGATGGCACCTCAGCCAGCCACTCACAGGGGGTGACTTAATCCAATATTTGAGGCACCGCAGCCTCAGCAGGGTCATCCTCACTTTGTGCCACGATGTTTTCCTGGCTGAGGGATTTTCCCTCCCCCAGGACCTCACAGAAATGCTCAGCAAATCTGCGAACCTGTTCCTGGGGGTCGGAAATTGGATCACCGTTTTTTCCCCTAATGATGGTAATAGGTGTGGCGCTGCAGGTTACTTTTTTGATGGAGTTAAATAGAGATTTGTGATCACGGGCCACTGAGGCAGACTCCATCTCCTCAGCAACCCGCGACCACCACCCATCCTTGCAGCGCCTCACGGCTCTCCGAACCTCCGAGCGAAGGCTGCGGTAAGCCTCCTCATTCTCTGACGTGGGATTCTGTAGCCGATGACAGTGGGCCTGTCGCTTTTTCTCAACCATCCTGAACAACTCCTCTGTCATCCAGGGTGTCTGGGGAGGTCTGGACCGCGTACCCAAAGCAGCCATTGCAGCTGCATGAGTCACAGTCCTAAACCTCGCCCATTTACCCTCGACATCAGGAGGAGTCGGGGACGATGCCAATCCCAGCCGCAAGCGATGATGAAATTCTCGCTTGCAACTTTCATCAGATAACTGAGACCAGGCCACTTTAGGTTGGAATGGGGTCCTGGGTGTACACCCACCACCGGAGTGGAAGAATGGCAGGCGCATCTTACAGATGACTAGTCGATGGTCAGAGGGCAGATCAGCTCCACGGTAGGTCCTGGTGTCAAGGACATGGGCTCGCATTCGCTGGTCCGTCACTATGTAGTCCAGCAGATGTTCTTGCTTGGACCCGGCATGCATCCATGATGTTGTGTGGATGCGCCGATGCCGGAACAGCGTGTTGGTAATTACAAGCCCATGGGCTGCACAAAAATCTAGCAGCCTCCTACCGTTGTTATTGAGCTGATCTGGCCCATGCCCTCCAATCACTCCAGACCAGGTGCCAGTATCATGACCAACTCGGGCATTGAAGTCACCCAACATGATGACTCTATCCCGAGGGGCCACTTTAGCCAGCACCTGTGTTCATCTTCGGTGGGGGCATAAGTAACCACGACCACCATTCCTCGCCTCCGGTTGATGGGAAGGCGAGCCCAAAGTAGCCTGGGGCTTACAGCTTCCCACACCTCACCGCCACGCTCCCACGCCCCCTTCATTCTTTTGTTCAAAAGAAGACCCACACCCTGTTGTTTGGCAGTCTGCTGCCCCGAGTAGAGGACTGTCCACCCCTCATGGTGGCAGGAGCCAGAGCCGGTCCACCGGACCTCCTGAATGACCCACAAACACACACACACATACACGCACGCACATACACACACATACACACACACACATATACACACACACACATACACACACATATACACACACACACATACACACGCACACACACCTCCTCGTTGCGGAAGCGGCCGAAGAGGTAAATGTAGCCGCCGGGGTACCCCACGAACTTGCCCTTGAAGAAGGCGATGTAGAAGATGGAGGAGTAGTAGTTGACGAACTGGAAGAGGAACATCTTGATGGTGAGTCGGTTCTCGTACTCGATCTGAGTCTTGGGCATCTCTGCGCAGAGGACGGAGGGCACGGTGGGTGGCGGTGGGCAGACGGGGCAGAGCGTTGGCACGCAGTGTCAAATAACAATGATGACGACGATGATAATAATAATTTAATATCAATATCGATGTTAATTCACGCGCCGCACGGTACACGCTCATCGCTCTCGTAGAGAGAGACAGAGGGTGACTCGGAGAGTGATGGAGGGAGGGGGGGGGGGGACGACTCGGAGGGAGAGAGTGAGAGGGTGACTCGGGAGGAGGAACACTTCACGAACTTGCAGGCCATGCTTGCGAGCAGAGGGGGTGTGTGGGAGGAGGAGAGGGTGGGAAGGGGAGGGAGTTATGGAGTTAGGTAGGGGAGGGTAGCGAGACAGAGGAGGAGGAGGAGGTGGGGGGGGGGGGTGGGGGGTCCCCTCACCCATGTCGGTGATCCAGATAGCCACCTTGACGTAGAAATAATTGAGCACCATGATGATGGCGAAGTTGAGGCAGGAGGCGGTGATGGCGGTGGCCATCTGGGGGGTGAGGAACGAGTCGATCACCTCGTTCTTGGTCAGCTCCTTGGGCAGGCGCGATGCCAACACAAAGAAGACGGCCAGCCGGTACACGATGATGCCCACGATCGACGCCAGCACCAGCAGAATCTGACCTCGCGGACGGACGGATAGGGGGTGGGTGGGTGGGTCGGTGGGCAGTGTATATGTGTGCGTGTGTGCGCGTGTATAAACTAAACAAACTTGACTGGTAACTTTTTTTTTATTTTAACAGCGAGAGACAGACAGAGAGAGAGAGAGAGTGAGAGACTGACAGAGAGAGAGAGACGGGGAGAGACAGACAGAGAGAGAGACAGTGAGAGACAGAGAGACATGGAGAGACAGTGAGAGACAGACAGAAAGAGAGGGACAGGGAGAGACAGAGAGAGAGACAGTGAGACAGAGAGAGGGAGAGACAGAGAGAGACAGTGAGACAGAGAGAGGGAGACAGTGAGAGACGAGAGACAGAGAGAGAGAGAGAGAGACATAGCGAGACAGACAGAGAGAGACAGTGAGAGACAGAGAGAGAGACAGTGAGAGACAGACAGAGAGAGAGACAGTGAGAGAAAGACAGAGAGAGACAGAGAGAGACATGGGGAGACAGTGAGAGACAGAGAGAGACAGAGAGAGACATGGAGAGACAACGAAAGACAGAGAGAGAGAGACAGTGAGAGACAGACAGAGAGAGATACATGGAGAGACAGGGAGAGACAGACAGAGAGAGAGAGACAGTGAGAGACAGAGAGACAGGGAGAGACAGACAGAGAGAGAGAGACAGAGAGAGAGACAGTGAGAGACAGACAGAGAGAGAGACAGGGAGAAACAGACAGAGAGAGACAAGGAGAGACAGGCAGAGAGAGAGAGACATGGAGAGACAGTGAGAGACCGAGAGTTCTCCTCACCCAGAAGATGACGGTGATGGCAGAGGCACATGCTCGCCAAGCCAGCGTGCCACAGGGCATGTACGGGTCCTGGGCCTATGGGACAGCACCCCCACCAACACCAGCAGCACCAGCAGCGCCACCACAACCGGCACCAGAAACCACAACCAGAAACCATCAGCATCGCCAGAAGCATCGGCGCCACCGTCAGAGAACAATCAGCGTAACCGGAACCCATGGGAAAGAACCGCAGGAATCATCAGCAACGCCACCGCCGGAATCATCAGCACCACCACCGCCGGAATCATCAGCAACGCCACCGCCGGAATCATCAGCACTGCCACCGCCAGAATCATCAGCACCGTCGGCACCGTCGGGAGTAGAGAAACGAATCGCAGAGAGGATGCAACCGGAAATGGACCCCCCCCCCCCGACCCCAGCAAGGCACGGAGAGAGACCCAGAGATGGCTCAACTATAAATAACTTTTTTACGAAATTAAAAAAATGTAAACTCTTTTTCATTGTACCAGGTAAGGGCCCAACTGAGCTACGTCGCTCTTTTCTTTAGAAAAGACTTGGCTATCGCAAATGGTAGCTCAACCAAGGGGCTCGTCATCACCATGGCGTGGAAATTCACAACAGCAGCCAAATACTGTAAACGCGTGACGTCGATTCTCAACGTGGAGGTGGAATAACCGGAGGAGGACCCCAGAGAGAGAAAAATCCACGCGCCCACGGGCAGAGGAGAGAGGGGGAGAGGAACATGCAAACCCCAAATATATAGAGCAGCGGCAGCAGCAGACCTTCTCGTACACCAGGCGAGGTCGTCAACATCTCCCTGCCGCAACCGTGGCCACGTCCGTGCCAACCGCACCACCACCACCACCCCCCCCCGCCCAGCGCGTGCCGTCTCTCCGGTCTCTCTTACCCCAAGCACCACGACGGAACTAATGCAAAGGTTCAGGCCGCAATATTCTATCCACGACTTGCTGGAGACGAGCTCTGTAGCCTGGCGGCACAAACCAAGGCCACGGCCGTCATCAGCACACCCAACATCGGCGAGTCCATCGCCAAACACGCACACACACGCGCGCGCGCGAGCGAGCGCCGAACGCTCGCATTGCCATTGGCTGCTGACATTTGGGCGACGCCCATTTCAAACCTTTGTCAACAGTTTCCCTTGGAAGCGAACCCCTCTCCTTCCTGGAGACGATCGCTTGCGTTGCGATCGCAACGCCGTAGTATTCTGTTGTTTTTGACGATTCTCTTTGAGCCTATCCACGTGACTTTACCGAATAGACCCCAAGACTATGAATTCCTGCAGTCACGAAAGCTTAAAGTCACGATTTGATTTGATTACTTTTGTACTTTTCGTCAAAGCTATTTTCATTGGAGTATGAGAGGCGAGGCACTGCCCCCCCTGACCCCCCTGACCCCACGTCCCTGCTGTAGTGTCGTGTGATGAGAAGGCATTGGTGGTGCAGCGGTGGAAGCAATGCGCTTATGAACCCAGCGACCCGAGTTCGATTCCAGCTCACGTTCTTCCCCGAGGTCGGTCCAACCGTAAATGAGTGTGAGCACCTGGTGCGGTCTCTGTAGTAAACATCGCCACTGGGAAGACAAAGGCGGCAGGGTATGGTGCTGGCCACCCACCCCCTCGTGCGCTCTGCCAGCCTTAACAGTTGCTCACAAATAGCACTTGCCCCAATGGTCCGTTGAAGGCTACACGGGGAATCTTTGTCTTTGTGTAGTATAGTATGTATAGTGTAATATAGTGTGTAGTGTAGTGTGTACTGTAGAATGTAGTGCAGTGTAGGTATGTAATGTAGTGTAGCATTTAATGTCGTGTACTTGCCGTACGTAATGTATAGCATGTAGTGTAGTATGTAGTGTAGCACGTCGTGTAGGGTATGTAGTGTAGTGCAGTGTGTAGTGCAGTATGTAGTGTAGTATGTAGTGTAAAGGTGCAGTGTAGTGTGTAGTGCAGTATGTAGTGTAGTGTGTAGTGTATAGTGTAGTGTATAGTGTGTAGTGTAGTATGTAGTGTAGTATGTAGTGTAGCATGTAGTGTAGCATGTAGTGTAGCATGTAGTGTAGGGTGCAGTGTAGTGTGCAGTGTAGTGTGTAGTGTAGTGTAGTATGTAGTGTAGTGTGTAGTGTAGTATGTAGTGTAGTGTGTAGTGTAGTGTAGTATGTAGTGTAGTTTATAGTGTAGCATGTAGTGTAGGGTGCAGTGTAGTGTAGGGTGTCGCATAGTGGGAGAGTCACTGGCCTGGGTGATGGGGTTGTACCTGTGTAGTGTAGTACGTAGTCTAGTGTAGTGTATAGTGTAGTGTAGTGTGTAGTGTAGTATGTAGTGTGTAGTGTCGTATGTAGTGTAGTGTGTAGTGTAGTGCAGTATGTAGTGTAGTGTGTAGTGTAGTACTGGCCTGGGTGATGGGGTTGTACTTGTGTAGTGTAGTACGTAGTGTAGTGTGTCGTGTAGCGTGTAGTGTAGCGTGTAGTGTAGCGTGTAGTGTAGTACTGGCCTGGGTGATGGGGTTGTGCTTGTGTAGTGTAGTACGTAGTGTAGTGTGTAGTGTAGCATGTAGTGTAGTGTGTAGTGTAGTATGTAGTGTAGTATGTAGTGTAGTACTGGCCTGGGTGATGGGGTTGTACTTGTGTAGTGCAGTACGTAGTGTGTAGTGTAGCGTGTAGTGTAGCGTGTAGTGTAGTATGTAGTGTAGTACTGGCCTGGGTGATGGGGTTGTACTTGTGTAGTGTAGTGTGTAGTGTAGCGTGTAGTGTAGCGTGTAGTATAGTATGTAGTGTAGTATGTAGTGTAGTATTGGCCTGGTTGATGGGGTTGTACTTGTGTAGTGTAGTACGTAGTGTAGCGTGTAGTGTAGTATGTAGTGTAGCATGTAGTGTAGTACTGGCCTGGGTGATGGGGTTGTACTTGTGTAGTGTAGTGTGTAGTGTAGTGTGTAGTGTAGTATGTAGTGTAGCATGTAGTGTAGTACTGGCCTGGGTGATGGGGTTGTACTTGCGCCGCGTGCATTTGGCTTCGTACTCCGGCCTCAGCTGCTCCTCGTCCTCCTCGGTGGCGACGAGGTCCCACTCGTAGTCCAGCGTCGCCTGGTAGCGCTTCCACATCTCCAGGAACAGCGTCACTACGCGCACGCACACAGGTCCCCCGGGTAGCCTCAGCCGACTGTCGGGGCAAGTGCCACTGCTGTTGGTGGACCCCGAGCGGGAATCGAACTCGGGGTCTCCGACCACCGTTGCGGTGGTTCTCTTGCGTTGACGCGCTTGCCTCTCACGGCGAAGTCGGCAGCGACGCAGCGTGTGTTGCACATAGACGTGACTTCAACTTGTTAATCCCCCTAATCTCTCCCATCAACATAGTGATAATCTCCCATTAACACTGCTGCGGTCGTGCGCATATGCGGGGGTGATACTCTTACGGGGCGACTGAAGCTCATTTCAAGCTAATCTCTCTCCCTAATCTCTCTCTCCCTAATCTCCCCCCTTGACACAACTGACGTGCTTGCGTCCGGGGATGGAATTCCTTTCCAGCTCAGACCCCGCCTGCTTGCCCATCACCACGTATATAACGCCTCTTGTTGTCGTAGCTGCTCTCTCTCGCTGGCTCAGCGGTTCCACCGCTGGATTATTTTGTTCCGCCCGAGGACGACCGCTTGCGTTGCGATCGAAACGTCGTGATTTATTATTATTTTTTATACCTACGTGACTTTACCGAAATAAACGAAGCTATGTTTTATATTAACAAGCAAGGCCCAATGAGCGACGCCGCTATTTTTCAGAAGCGACCAGGCCATCACAAATGATGGCTCACATCATCATCATCATCACGTGGAAATGTATCGCAGCGGCCATTAATACTCCCAACGCTGGACGTTGATTCTAAATGTGGAGGGAAAAACCGGAGGAGGACCCGGACACAAATCCACGCAGTGACCACCACGGGGAGAGAGAGAGAGAGACACGCAAACTCCAAATATACAGCCGCAGCAGGCGTCGTCAGGGTCAGGGTCGGGATCGAACCCACGACCTCCTGCGTACCAGGCGAGGTAGTCAACATCTCAGCAGAGATCCGTCGCCCCCTGCCGCTAAACAGCCGGCAGGACCTTCCTGCAAAGAGAACCGCGAAGAGACTCGGCGAGGGAGAGCCGGTGAGGGCGACAAACGCTCGGGGCCACGGCACTCACCCCAGATGCCCATGAACGCGGCGAAGAAGACGGTGGCCGGATTGTCGAAGAGGTAGGTTTGCTGCACCACACACACACACACACGTACAACAACAGCCGCCATTCGCCACTAAGTGGCGGTGACGTCACCACGACGCTTGTGCCAGGCCATGTGCACCTTGAGGCCACGTGAAGCGTCGAACGCCCGCTGGCAGGAGGTCACGGGGCAGACCTAGGTGCCACGGGTCGACTGACTGAGATGACTGGCTGATGCACCACCTGTGCCCCCTACTGTGTCAACCCGCTGTGCTTTAGCCGCCCGGTGCTCCGCTCGTTGTTGTGAGCGTCGCTCCTCTGTCCTCCGTTGTTGTTGGAGGGCGACTGCCTCCAACTGCCCAGTAGTGTCCCTCACGAGCCCCCTTCACAGAAGACGATCTTGACACCGTTGGTACCAGTCATCGGCAAGTCCACTCAGCTCCACATCCTCCTGTACCACATCACTCCATCTCGTCTCTAACCCGTGCCGCGCCCGTTTAGCCCCCTCGATCCGGCCGAACAAAAGCTGTTTCGGCATGCGGTGGCTGGGCATGCGGGCTACATGACCCAGCCAACGCAGCCTTGCCTGCTGGAGGAGCTCACCGATGGGACCTTGCCCAGATCTTTCAAAGATTTGTGAGCTCCTCACACAATCCATCATGGTTAAACCCAGGATGGATCGTAGGCAGGCCAGCCTAAATGTTTCTAACCGGCGAAGATGTTCCATTAGGGGGGTCCACGTTTCGCAAGCGTAGAGAAGGGAGGGAATGACCGTGGCCAAGAAGACCTGAAGCTTAGTGCGGAGCGACAGACCAGGTAGCTTCCACACAGCGTTACGAAACCGATGAAAAGATATTGCCGCTCGACTGATTCGGAGTGAGACCTCTGCTGTTAAACTGGAGCCGTACACACACACACGCACACACGCGCACGTACACACACGCGCATACATACACATACACGCGCGTACACACATACACGCGGGTACACACATACACGCGGGTACACACATACACGCGCGTACACACACACGCGCGTACACACACACGCGCGTACACACACACGCGCGAACACACACACGCGCACACACACACACACACACCCGCGCACACACACACGCACACATACACACGCGCACCATTCACATTGTTGTCATCATCACCAGGACTTCTCTTCCCCCGTGGTTGCAGACCTCTGGGAGTCACTGCAATAGCGGTCTCAGTGACCTGGCCTCCTCCTCGTCCACCCTGCTCACCACGTGTCTCACCCATCACTACCTCCTCCTCCTTCACACCACGTGTCCCACCCATCACTACCTCCTCCTCCTCCACACCACGTGTCCCACCAATCACTACCTCCTCCTCCACACCACGTGTCCCACCCATCACTACCTCCTCCTGGCCACCACCACGTGTCCCACCTAAGACTACCTCCTCCACACCACGTGTTTCACCCATTACTACCTCCTCCTCCTCCACACCACGTGTCCCACCCATCACTACCTCCTGCTCACCACCACGTGTCCCACCCATCACTACCCTCCTCCTCCCCACCACGTGTCCCACCCATCACTACCTCCTGCTCACCACCACGTGTCCCACCCATCACTACCCTCCTCCTCCACACCACGTGTCCCACCCATCACTACCTCCTCCTCCTCCACACCACGTGTCCCACCCATCACTACCTCCTCCTCCACACCACGTGTCCCACCCATCACTACCTCCTCCTCCACACCACGTGTCCCACCCATCACTACCTTCTCCTCCCCACCACGTGTCCCACCCATCACTACCTCCTCCTCCCCACCACGTGTCCCACCCATCACTACCTCCTGCTCCCCACCACGTGTCCCACCCATCACTACCTTCTCCTCCTCCACACCACGTGTCCCACCCATCACTACCCTCCTGCTCCCCACCACGTGTCCCACCCATCACTACCTTCTCCTCCCTCCTCCGCCCTCCCTGCTCACCACGTGTTCCACCCATCTCGAGGTGAGCGTCTTCACTCACCTTGGAGGAGCTGCAGGTGATGTTCAGCCTCCAGTAGGTGCACTGCTTGTCGCACTGAGGGCACATGATGAACCTCCCGCCGATCTTGGCGTCGCAGATCTCCTTGCTGAGCGGGCAGACGCACGGGAGGGGGGTGGGGCACCGCGCTCGTTCAGCCCGGCGAGAGTCGTCTCGCGGATCTCTCCCTTTCCTCACGGCAGGCATCTCCACCGAGTCCGTCGCTGCACCGGGCCGATGCTGTAACCGCTGTTACCGCTGATGCGAGCGGTAGTGTAGTAGCGGTTGGCGCGCTGCCCTACAAGAACCCACCCACACACCCAGCCATCCTCCCCCCCTAACCACCCACCCATCCCCCTACCTACCTGTCTCTCTACCCACCCACCCGTCTACCCACCCACCCATCTCCCCACCCACCCGTCTCCCCACCCACCCATCTCACCACCCACCCACCTATCTAACCACTCACCCATCTCACCACCCACCCGTCTCCCCACCCACCCATCTCACCACCCACCCACCCGTCTCCCCACCCACCCATCTCACCACCCACCCGTCTCCCCACCCACCCATCTCACCACCCACCCACCCGTCTCACCACCCACCCACCCGTCTCCCCACCCACCCACCCGTCTCCCCACCCACCCACCCGTCTCCCCACCCACCCATCTCACCACCCACCCACCCGTCTCCCCACCCACCCATCTCACCACCCACCCACCCACCTATCTAACCACTCACCCACCCATCTCACTACCGACCCACCTCCACACGCCGTCATCCATGGTGCAGAGGCCGTAGATGAAGCAGCCGGTGCCGACCACGGCGGCGATGAACAGCATGAAGGTGTAGAAGCCCAGCCAGGCAAAGTACAGAGCAATCTTCTCCCCAAAGTACTTCCTGCAGCACGCACCACGACATCGACAACAATCGCCGTTTGTACTCAGGGGCGGCAGCTTCACCGCGGCGCGCTTGTGCCAGGCTAGATGCACGTCGAGGCCGTCAAGTGAATCGAGGAAGGCCCTCGCTCCTGGCGGGAGGTGGTCACGGGACAGTCCCAGGAGGTCACGGGAGAGTCCCAGGAGGTCACGGGAGAGTCCCAGGAGGTCATGGGACAGGCCCAGGAGGTCACGGGACAGTCCCAGGAGGTCACGGGACTGTCCCAGGAGGTCACGGGACAGTCCCAGGAGGTCACGGGACTGTCCCAGGAGGTCACGGGACAGTCCCAGGAGGTCACGGGACAGTCCCAGGAGGTCACGGGACAGGCCCAGGAGGTCACGGGACAGTCTCAGGAGGTCACGGGACAGTCTCAGGAGGTCACGGGACAGTCCCAGGAGGTCACGGGACAGTCCCAGGAGGTCACGGGACAGTCCCAGGAGGTCACGGGACAGGCCCAGGAGGTCACGGGACAGGCCCAGGAGGTCACGGGACAGGCCCAGGAGGTCACGGGACAGTCCCAGGAAGTCACGGGACAGGCCCAGGAGGTCACGGGACAGGCCCAGGAGGTCACGGGACAGGCCCAGGAGGTCACGGGACAGGCCCAGGAGGTCACGGGACAGAGTTGTGGGCTGCCGGCCTGGGGTGACTGCCGGATGCGCCAAGACTAACGGATTTCTGTGGGCAGAAGCAGCAGCAACTGCCTACTCAACAAGGACGATGGTCCTGGGAAAACCAGGACAGGTGGCAACCCGACCCTGCCACCCAAACAACAACAACAACAACCACCATTTGCCGCCAAGTGGCGGTGACGTCACCAAGGCGTTCGTGCCAGGCTAGGTGCACTTTAAGGCCACATGAAATGTAAAAGGTTCGCTGGCAGGTCACGGGAGAGATCCAGCAGGTGCCAAGGGTTGACTGATTTGACATGACTGGCCGATGTACCACCTGTGCACCCCCCTACTGTGCCAACTTGCTGCATTTTAGCTCCCTGGTGCTCTGCTCGTTGTTGTGAGCGTCGCTCCTCTGCTCTCCGTTGTTTCTGGAGGGCGACTGCCTCCAACTGCCCAGTAGCAGCGTCCTTCACGAGCCTCCTCCTCCACAGAGGCCGATCTTGACACTGCTGGTACCGGTCATTGGCAAGTCCACTCAGCTCCACATCTCCTCGTGGCCTGTGTGCCATGGGCTGACCGACTGAGATGACCGACAGATGCAGCCACTCAAACACCGACTCACCAACCCACCCACCCGCACACTCAGACACTCACTCGTGTGCCACTCCCCCCCCCCCGCCGTGCCCCCCCCCCCCCCCGTGCCCACCGTATGAAGTTGAGAGGTTGCTGTTTGTAGAAGCGTGCAGGCCGTGCCCACTCGCTGTACAGCACCAGCCGCTCACTGCCTCCGTGGGCATCCGCCGTCTCCTTCCAGTACTTACTCTGCAACACGCACGCCCACGCACCACTCACCAGCCGCTACTCACCAGCCAGCCGCCACTCACCAGCCGCCACTCACCAGCCAGCCGCCACTCACCAGCCACTCACCAGCCAGTCGCCACTCACCAGTCGCCACTCACCAGCCGCTCACCAGCCAGCCGCCAGTCACCAGCCGCCACTCACCAGCCAGCCGCCACTCACCAGCCAGCCGCCACTCACCAGCCAGCCGCCGCTCACCAGCCAGCCGCCACTCACCAGCCAGCCGCCACTCACCAGCCAGCCGCCGCTCACCAGCCAGCTGCCGCTCACCAGCCAGCCGCCACTCACCAGCCGCTCAGTAGCCAGTAGCTATTCACCACTCACCATCCACTCCCATCGCCCACACATTTGGCTGCTTCCTAGCGAGTCACCATCACCGGCGCCGTGCCCGGCACGGCTCTCGCTGGAGAGCAGCGGCACCACGCGGCTGGACAGCGGTGAGTGCTTATGTGTGGGTGAGTGGGTGGGTGGGTGAGTGGCTGAGTGACTGGGTGGGTGAGTGGCTGAGTGAGTGGGTGGGTGAGTGGCTGAGTGAGTGGGTGGGTGAGTGGCTGAGTGAGTGAGTGTGTGAGTGGTGTTAGTGCTTGAGTGAGTGCTTGAGTGGTTGAGTGAGTGCTTGAGTGAGTGGTTGAGTGGATGAGTGAGTGAGAGTGAGTGAGTGGGTGAGTAGTGGAGTGAGTAGTTGAGTGGATGAGTGAGTGAGAGAGTGGGTGAGTAGTGGAGTGAGAAGTTGAGTGAGTGGTTGAGTGGATGAGTGAGTGAGTGAGAGTGAGTGAGTGGTTGAGTGAGTGGAGTGAGTAGTTGAGTGGATGAGTGAGTGAGTGTGAGTGAGTGAGAGTGAGTGAGTGGTTGAGTAGTGGAGTGAGTAGTTGAGTGGATGAGTGAGTGAGTGAGAGTGAGTGAGTGAGTGGTTGAGTGGATGAGTGAGTGAGTGAGAGTGAGTGAGTGGTTGAGTAGTGGCGTGAGTAGTTGAGTGAGTAGTTGAGTGGATGAGTGAGTGAGAGTGAGTGAGAGTGAGTGAGTGGTTGAGTAGTGGAGTGAGTAGTTGAGTGGATGAGTGAGTGAGAGTGAGTGAGAGTGAATGAGAGTGAGTGAGTGGTTGAGTAGTGGAGTGAGTAGTTGAGTGGATGAGTGAGTGAGTGTGAGTGAGAGTGAGTGAGTGGTTGAGTAGTGGAGTAAGTAGTTGAGTGGATGAGTGGATGAGTGAGAGAGTGAGTGGAGTGAGTAGTGGAGTGAGTAGTTGAGTGAGTGAGAGTGAGTGAGAGTGAGTGAGTGGTTGAGTAGTGGAGTGAGTAGTTGAGTGGATGAGTGAGTGAGTGAGAGTGAGTACGCTCCACGTTCCAAACCTCTTCGGCTCAAAGCGACCGTCACGCGGACTCACGTTGGTTGTTTTTGGTGGCAGTGTTGACAGTGGTGTCACGTGGCAAGCAAAGCCTGGGTTTCATTCCCGACTGGGGCGTCTTACTGTGTGGAGTGTGTGTGTGTTCTGCAGAGTGAGAGGGTGGAGTTTGTATGATCTCCCCCTCTCTTGCGCGAGTTTCCTCCGGTTCTCCAGTTTACTCCTCCCATGGCTAAACCCACACCCACAGTGGAACTGCTATCGTGTGCCGTGCCAGCCTTCATGGGTGGTGCTACTCGCTAACAGCACTTGCCCCAACAGTCTGTCGAGGCTATACGGGGGATCTTTTGTCTTGTGCGAGTGAGCGAGCGAGTGAGTGCGTGCGTGTGGGGGGAGCAGTAGTGCGGGGTGAGGAGAGGATGAGGAGAGGGTGAGGGAGGGTGAGGAAGGACAGAAAGGTGAGCAACCAGAAGGCAGATAGCGAGGGGAAGTCACAAACAGGACCGGACTAACGCAGAGGCCCGACCATCAGAATCGGAATGAGACTGCAGCAGCAGCAGCAGGAGGAGGATTCTGATGAGCTATGAAGCTCTTTGCCGCAGATGTCCAGTAGGGGCATGGGGTAAGAACGTCACAACAACAACAAACACAAAACACCAACACGCGATAGGAGTGCAAAGTATAGGTAAAGGTAAATAAATCACTTAAATAATAAATATACAAAGGCAACTCAACTATTGTGAACGTATCCTTCGGAAGCGACCTGGCCACGACTAACGCAGAGGAGGCCGCCGCACTGATGCAGACTCGGGACTATCAGAATCAGAATATGTATTTGTACTAGAGGAATCCGATGAGCTATAAAGCTCTTTGCCACAGTCACCGTTGGCGTGAGCAGGGCCGTTTGCGTGCCACTGGTGCCAGCGTCCACATTTTCCCCAATTCGAATATCTCCGCCGTGAATCAAACACTAAGACTTAACTATTGTTTGCTTTACCAGGTAAGGACCCCACTGAGCGACGTCGCAATTTTTTCAACCACCAAGTGGAAATTTATAGCAGCAGCCAAATACTAAATGTGGAGGACCCGGAGAAAAATCCACGCGACCGCGCGGAGAGAGAGGGAGAGAGACACGCAAACTCCAAATATACAGCCAGGCGTTGTCAGGGTCAGGATCGAACCCACGACCTCCTGCATACCAGGCGAGGTAGTCAACATCTCCAAGCCACCGCGCTGCCCTCACGCGACTGGGATTGTGACCATACAGGCAACAGCGGACGGCGATCACGGCACACGCGTCCCGCCCACCCCCTCCTACTGGCAGCAGAACCCATGCCCCAGGCGAGCCTCGCAACCGGGGATCTGCCGTCAGCTGGTCCTCTCAGCTGGCCGCGCCCGCCACCAAATCAGCGTGGAACCCTGAGAGCGGCCCAAAACCGCAGCGCCCGTCACAAAGAGCTTTACAGCTCATCGGATTTCCTCGGGTATGAATAATAAATATACTGAATTGATTCTGCTTCTGGGAAAGCAGAGCCGCTCTAATGGCGTCGAGAACGTTTTCACCGCCGCGGTCCTCGCGCATGACGCGGGCAAAGATCCCCCGTGTAGCCTCAACAGGCTGTCGGGGCAAGTGCTGCGAGCAGCGAGTAGCAGCACCCACGAAGGGCGGCACCGTGGCACACGTGGGGGGGTGAGTGGCCAGCACCACGCCCGGCCGCCTTCGTCTCCCCAGCGGCGATGTTTCCACACCGCTACATTTGAGGCCGAGCCGACCTAGGGCAGGACCTGGTTCAGATCAAACGTCGCCGGCGTTCGTGGCCGTGAGCAGGAATCCAACTCGGGTGGCCAGCTTCGTGGCGCAGCGCGGTAGCTGCGATGCTCGCAGAGCCACCGGGTTATATTTCACTTTGAGTTTTACCGGGAAAGCTCCCACTGAGCTCTACTGCTCTTTTTCAGAAGCGACCCCGACCATCACAAATGAGAGCAGCTCAAACGAGTGGCTTTGTCGTCGTCATCGCGATCGTGCGGCAGCCAAACACTGGAAATGCGCGTGGACGCTCATTCTAAAAGTGAAGGGGGAGAAAAGCGGAGGAGGACCTGGAGAGAAGAATCCACAGGGAGAGAGAGAGACACGCAGACTCCAAATAACAGCGGGCATCGTCAGGGTCGGGATCGAACCCACGACCTCCTGTATACCAGGCGAGGTAGTTAACATCTTGGCACATATACAGCAGGCATCGTCAGGGTCGGGATCGAACCCACGACCTCCTGTATACCAGGCGAGGTAGTTAACATCTCCTAGCCACCGCGGCGGCCGGCTGTGGATGTCCAAGCGCTGTCGATCGTTTTTAAACTTAGATTCAGATTCGTGATCCGTACAATCGAGTTTTAGTAATCCGGAACTGGACTAAGTGCCAGTGGAGGAGTTTGTTGGTATCGCCATCATCAGGCACAGGTGGTGGGTTCAACAGTCAAGGGAAGGAGGAATTGAACGTTCAACAGAGAGAGGGAGTGGAGTGGAGTGGGGGACTCCCCCCCCCCCCCCGCGCCACCACCTCACCAACCAACACCATAACAACTCCGCGTCCAACCGTTCAAACGTAATCCGGCCCTGATTTTGAAAGCTTGCGAGGCTGCTGGTTCCCAACCGTGCAGCAGGCAACGTGCTGTGCGTGGGTACGTACGTGCGTGTACGTACGTTGTTCAACTTCCTTAAGCGCCGTACGTAGCCAACCATGCTAATGTATGTACGTGTGTGTGTGTGTTGAACTTCTTCAGCGCCGTACGTAGCCTACCGTTGCTAAAAATATTACATTTTTAAAGCAGCCAAAACGCTGCCCAAATGGCGCGGCCTTGGGAGGATGGAGTGCCGCTGGACAAGGCACGAGGAGGTTTTGCGACGTAACAAGAAACGCAATAACAATCATCATAAGTTGTACGATGCCTGTAATGTGGATTTGTGACGTTCACCCACACGGTATTGGCTCGCCGCTCTCGCAGGGAGAGAGACGGGGGAGGGGGGGTGCGATTCAGCGGTGCTGGGTCGCTACGGGCAGCCACGCACCTCCGATTGGCATGGATGGCTACGTACGGCGCTAAAGAAATTCGACGTGCGTGCGTGCGTGCGGTAGCGTCCACGACAGCTGTGCCGCAGCACGGATTTGGGACCAGCTCACGTCAAAGCCGTGAAGACGCTCGCAAAGAACAGGAGGTGGAGGAGGTAGAAGCTCCGACAGGAGACATTGAATAGAATATCAAAATGACGAGGGTCGAAGGGAGAGAGAGAAAGAGCGGTCATTTTGATGAGGTGATACCCACCTCGGCATCGGAAGTTAGCAGTGAATCAACGCCGGCCAGCGACTGCAAACAGCAACACAGAGACGCTCAGAGTCACCGGCACCGCAACCACCACCGCCACCACCGCCACCACCACCGCCACCACCGCCGCCACCACCACCGCCACCGTCACCACTACCCCCGCCGCTGTCACCACTGCCACCGCCGTCACCGCCGCTGTCCGTCCATCCCACCGTCGCTCGCCAAAGCAAAATTCGTGTGGCCAAAGCGTTCCCCCCCCTTCTCGCTCGTCCCTACATGCAGATTTTCCCAGCGGTGGCTGGGAGATGTTGACTACCGCGCCTGGTACGCAGGGGGTTCGGTCGACAAACCTGACGCCCGCCCGCCCGCCCGCTGCTGTATATCTGGAGTTTGCGGCATCTCTCCCTCCTTGGAGGACCCGGAGAAAAATCCACGCGACCACGGGGAGAGAAAAGACAGAGACGACTCTAAATACACAGCAGCAGCAGCAGGCGTTGTCAGGCGGGCGGGATCGAACCCACGACCTCCTGCGCACCAGGCGAGGGCGACAACATCGCCACAAACCGCGGGCCGCCACCGCAGCTCGGGGGCTCGAGGGGTCTCGCCGCTGCGACGGGTTTTCTAAACGCGCGACGGGAGGATTTTAAAATCCCCGCGTTGGCCAGAGCTTCGTCTCTGTGGGGGGCGGGGAGAGCGAAGGGAGGCGGGGAGCGCCGGCAGAACCGGCGAGGGGGGGGGGTAGGTGGGATGGAACTCTCGCCGGCGATGGCGGTGGCAGCGGCGGTGAGAACAAGCCGAGCGAACAAAGCGAGCCTCCTCCAGCCCCTGGCTCACGCCGGTGGTGAAATGACGTCGTCGGTATAGCCAGCCAGGCAGCCAGCCAGGCAGCCAGCCAGGCAGCCAGGCAGCCAGCCAGGCAGCCAGGCAGCCAGCCAGGCAGCCAGCCAGGCAGCCAGGCAGGCAGCCAGGCAGGCAGGCAGCCAGCCAGGCAGCCAGGCAGGCAGGCAGCCAGCCAGGCAGCCAGGCAGGCAGGCAGCCAGCCAGGCAGGCAGGCAGGCAGCCAGCCAGCCAGGCAGGCAGCCAGCCAGCCAGCCAGGCAGGCAGGCAGCCAGCCAGCCAGGCAGCCAGCCAGGCAGCCAGCCAGGCAGGCAGCCAGGCAGGCAGCCAGCCAGCCAGGCAGCCAGCCAGGCAGGCAGCCAGCCAGCCAGGCAGCCAGCCAGCCAGGCAGCCAGCCAGCCAGGCAGCCAGGCAGGCAGGCAGCCAGGAAGCCAGGCAGGCAGCCAGCCAGGCAGCCAGGCAGCCAGCCAGGCAGCCAGCCAGGCAGGCAGCCAGGCAGGCAGGCAGCCAGCCAGGCAGCCAGGCAGCCAGCCAGGCAGCCAGGCAGCCAGCCAGGCAGCCAGGCAAGCAGGTGTGGGGGGGATTAGCGGTCAAGTCATCAATGCTCCCTGTGCGAGTGCGACCGCCCCGTGAATCTTTTCCGTGGTTACATTCCTCCCACCCCACTCCCTCCCGTTCTCCCCCTGAACCCCATCCATGAGAACGTCATCAGTTTGTTTTCTTTCCAGATTCCCTTCCGAAATAACCAGAACAGTAATACAATGTGTGACCCTCTGTGGGTACGTCTTCGGGTCGGAAGATGTGCAGAGGCTTCCCCGGCAAGGCCACACGTCTGCACGCTGGAGGGCGCGTGGGTGAGTGTGTGCGTGTGTGCGTGTCTGTGTGTGCGTGCGTGTCTGTGTGTGCGTGTCTGTGTGTGCGTGTCTGTGTGAGCGTGGCGGCCAGTCGCGCCGCTGCGGTGGGCGACGACGCAGCCGCAAGCCTGCGGCACCAACGCTGACAGCGGCGAGAAGGCACCGCGAGGATGTGTGTAGATAGGTGTGTGTGTACGTGCGTGTATGGAAGTGTGTAAGTGCATGTGTGTGTGTATGTCAGTGCGTGCAGACGTGTATGTGCGTGCGTATGTATGTATGCAAGTGCGCGTGGGCGTACGTGTGTATGTGTGTAAGTGCGTACGTGTACACGTGTGCATGGGTGTGCGTGCGTGCGTGTGTGTAATTGCGTGCGTGCCCGTACGTCGTGGAGGGGGTAAGCTGCACTGTAGGTGCCGTTGCTCAGCAGCCGTTCGATCCCAAACCGCACCTTGGCCTCATCCTCCTCCTCCGTGTAGCCACAGCGCGACAGCACGTAGTACACCTACAGGCACAGCACAGCACGTAGTACACCTACAGGCACAGCACATAGTACACCTACAGGCACAGCACATAGTACACCTACAGGCACAGCACAGCACGTAGTACACCTACAGGCACAGCACAGCACGTAGTACACCTACAGGCACAGCACAGCACGTAGTACACCTACAGGCACCGCACGGCACGCGGAGCACTTACAGGCTCCACACAGCACATAATACACCATGTACGATGCGGTTGCGTGTGTACGTGCCTATACATGGGTGCGTGTACGTGCGTACATGCGTGTAGGAGCGTGTACGAGCGTGTGCATACGTGCGTGTCCGTGCGTAGGAGCGTGTACGTGAGTGCGCATGTAGGAGCGTGTACGAGTGTGTACGAGTGTGTGCGTGCGTATAGGAGCGTGTACGAGCGTTACGAGCGTGTACGAGCATGTGCGCGTGTGTGCGTATAGGAGCGTGTATGAGCGTGTGTGTGTGTGCGTGTAGGAGCGTATACGTGCGTGTAGGAGCGTGTACGCGAGTGTGCGTGTGTGCATGTCCGTGTGTACGTGCGTGTGTGCGTGTAGGAGCGTGTACGTGTGTGTGCGTGTGCCCGTGTGTACGTGCGTGTACGTGCGTGTACGTGTGTGCGTGCGTGCAGGAGCGTGTGCGTGCGTGTACGTGTGTGTGTGCGTGTAGGAGCGTGTACGTGCGTTTGTGCGTGTGCGTGTGCGTGCACGTAGGCGTGTAAGAGCGTGTGTGCGTGTACGTGTACGTGTAGAAGCGTGTGCGTGTACGCATGTGCGTGCGTGTACGTGTGCGTGTAGGAGCGTGTGCGTGTAAGAGCGTGTGCGTGTAAGAGCGTGTGCGTGCGTGTACGTGTGCGTGTAGGAGCGTGTACGTGTAGAAGCGTGTGCGTGTACGCGTGTGCGTGCGTGTACGTGGGCGTGTAGGAGCGTGTGTGCGTGTACGTGTGCGTGCGTGTAGGAGCGTGTGCGTGCACGTGTGTGTGCGTGTAGGAGCGTGTGCGTGCGTGTACGCGTGTGCGTGCGTGTACGTGGGCGTGTAGGAGCATGTGCGTGTGTGCGTGTACGTGTGCGTGCGTGCAGGAGCGTGTGCGTGCACGTGTGTGTGCGTGTAGGAGCGTGTGTGTGCGTGTACGCGTGTGCGTGCGTGTACGTGGGCGTGTAGGAGCGTGTGCGTGCGTGTACGTGTGCGTGCGTGTGTGTGTGCGTGCGTACGATGCGGTTGCGCGTGGTCTCGCTGAAGAAGGCCTCCTGGTCGTGGATGAGGAAGGCGTCGCGGTGGCTCATCTGGAATGGCGCCGTGAAGTACTCCACGTCGGCACGGATCACGTCAGGACTCAGCTTGTACAGCTTCTCCATGCACGAGCGCAGAGTGGTGTCGCGCTGCACCTGGTTCTCCTTCACCGGCACCTGCGTGCACACACCGCCCTTGTCACCGTCACCGTCACCGCCGCTGACGTCGCTATCATCATCATCATCGTCGTCGTCGTTGTCACCATCACCGTCATCACTGTCAGCGATCACCTTTTTAAAAAAAAAAGATAATTTTTAGATTGCAATTATGTTCTTTGGTTCTTTCGGTAAAGTCACGTAGAATGAGAATAAAATAATAAATTGATAAAATAAAATAACACAATAATATTCTCACGACGTTTCGGCCACAACACAAGCGGCCTTCATCAGGTGAAGGGGACGAGACTGTCTGGTAGGACAGCGCTCCAGCGCTGGAGCGCTGGAGCGCTGTCCTACCAGACAGTTATTTTATCAATTTATTATTTTATTCTCATTCTACGTGACTTTACCGAAAGAACCAAAGAAGATGAATCCTTGCAGTCACGAAAGCTTTAAATCGAAATTGCAATTATGATTTGCAAGCTATTTTTTTTCATTTCTCTTATCTGTAAATTGTTGACCGTTGATTTTATTTTACTGCGACTTGTTGCGTTTGTCGGAGAATCGGCGGTGTTGTTAGTTTTTTTGATGAAACATCAAATTTAGAGCTTCTTGGCTCACAGTGTCACTCAAAATAAACTCAACTGAACCGTCATCATCACCGTCATCACGATCATCATCACCGTCATCACGATCATCATCACCGTCACCACCACCACCACCGCCGCCGTCGTAACCATCATCATCATCACCGTCATGCAGGAGAGGGAAGGAGGGAGCCAGGGGCCACGCAGAGGTGCGGACCAACCTCAGACACGCGTCCCTACCCCGTCGAGCGAGCGTGGGGTGGCGCTCACCACCTGGGGGTGTCCCTGCCTCACTCACCACCTGGGGGTGTCCCTGCCTCACTCATCACCTGGGGGTGTCCCCGTCTCACTCACCACCTGGGGGTGTCCCTGCCTCACTGGGGGTGTCCCTGCCTCACTCACCACCTGGGGGTGTCCCTGCCTCACTCACCACCTGGGGGTGTCCCTGCCTCACTCACCACCTGGGGGTGTCCCTGCCTCACTGGGGGTGTCCCTGCCTCACTCACCACCTGGGGGTGTCCCTGCCTCACTCACCACCTGGGGGTGTCCCTGCCTCACTGGGGGTGTCCCTGCCTCACTCACCACCTGGAGGTGTCCCTGCCTCACTCACCACCTGGGGGTGTCCCTGCCTCACTCACCACCTGGGGGTGTCCCTGCCTCACTGGGGGTGTCCCTGCCTCTGTCACCACCTGGGGGTGTCCCTGCCCCACTCACCACCTGGGGGTGTCCCTGCCTCACTCACCACCTGGGGGTGTCCCTGCCTCACTCACCACCTGGGGGTGTCCCTGTCTCACTCACCACCTGGGGGTGTCCCTGCCTCACTCACAACCTGGGGGTGTCCCTGCCTCACTGGGGGTGTCCCTGCCTCTGTCACCACCTGGGGGTGTCCCTGCCCCACTCACCACCTGGGGGTGTCCCTGCCTCACTCACCACCTGGGGGTGTCCCTGTCTCACTCACCACCTGGGGGTGTCCCTGCCTCACTCACCACCTGGGGGTGTCCCTGCCTCACTGGGGGTGTCCCTGCCTCTGTGACCACCTGGGGGTGTCCCTGCCCCACTCACCACCTGGGGGTGTCCCTGCCTCACTCACCACCTGGGGGTGTCCCTGCCTCACTCACCACCTGGGGGTGTCCCTGCCTCACTCACCACCTGGGGGTGTCCCTGTCTCACTCACCACCTGGGGGTGTCCCTGCCTCACTGGGGGTGTCCCTGCCTCACTCACCACCTAGGGGTGTCCCTGCCTCACTGGGGGTGTCCCTGCCTCACTCACCACCTGGAGGTGTCCCTGCCTCACTCACCACCTGGGGGTGTCCCTGCCTCACTCATCACCTGGGGGTGTCCCTGCCTCACTCACCACCTGGGGGTGTCCCTGCCCCACTCACCACCTGGGGGTGTCCCTGCCTCACTCACCACCTGGGGGTGTCCATGTCTCACTGGGGGTGTCCCTGCCCCACTCACCACCTGGGGGTGTCCCTGCCTCACTCACCACCTGGGGGTGTCCCTGCCTCACTCACCACCTGGGGGTGTCCCTGCCTCACTCACCACCTGGAGGTGTCCCTGCCCCACTCACCACCTGGGGGTGTCCCTGCCTCACTCACCACCTGGAGGTGTCCCTGCCCCACTCACCACCTGGGGGTGTCCCTGCCTCACTCACCACCTGGGGGTATCCCTGCCTCACTGGGGGTGTCCCTGCCTCACTCACCACCTGGGGGTATCCCTGCCTCACTGGGGGTGTCCCTGCCTCACTCACCACCTGGGGGTGTCCCTGCCTCGCTCACCACCTGGGGGTGTCCCTGCCTCGCTCACCTTGATGTGAAGCTTCTCGGCGAAGGTGCAGAGCACTTCAAAGGGAGCGTGCACCTTCACGAAGTAGGTCTTGCCGTCCGTCGCCGACTGTGACGACGACCCACACAACCACACGCGTACAATCACACGCGCTGCACGGCCACGCCGTGACGTCGTTACTCTCGCCGGGGTTAAAGCGTCACCCTGCGGTCTCTACATTTCCGACACGGAACGGAAGAGAGTGGCCATGCGGTGAGCACTTTGTGGTCGTGGCGAGATACACTCACGGGGTGGAGGGAAAGCACTCAAGGGGCGGAAACACGGCGGTGGTGACGGTGGTGGTGCTGGGATGAGGCTCACAGGGCAGATCTATGCATGTTGAACTTCTTTCGCACCGCACGTAGCCAACCATGTTAATCAGAGGTGCGGGGTAAGGACAAACTATGGGTCTCTGCGTGAGTCTATGGGTCTCTGTGCGAGTCTATGGGTCTCTGTGTGAGTCTATGGGTCTCTGCGTAAGTCTATGGGTCTCTGTGTGAGTCTATGGGTCTCTGCGAGTCTATGGGTCTCTGCGAGTCTATGGGTCTCTGCGAGTCTATGGGTCTCTGCGAGTCTATGGGTCTCTGCGAGTCTATGGGTCTCTGTGAGTCTATGAGTCTCTGTGAGTCTATGGGTCTCTGTGTGAGTCTGTGGGTCTCTGTGTGAGTCTGTGGGTATCCGTGTGAGTCTGTGGGTATCCGTGTGAGTCTGTGGGTATCCGTGTGAATCTATGGGTGTCTATGCGAGTCTATGGGTCTCTGTGTGAGTCTATTGGTCTCTGCGTGAGTCTATGGGCCTCTGTGGGAGTCTATGGGTCTCTGTGGGAGTCTATGGGTCTCTGTGTGAGTATATGGGTTACTGTGAGTCTATGGGTCTCTGTGTGAGTCTATGGGTCTCTGTGTGAGTCTATGGGTCTCTGTGTGAGTCTATGGGTCTCTGCGTGAGTCTATGGGTCTCTGCGTGAGTCTATGGGTCTCTGTGTGAGTCTATGGGTGTCTGTGTGAGTCTATGGGTCTGTGTGAGTCTATGGGTCTCTGTGTGAGTCTATGGGTCTCTGTGTGAGTCTATGGGTCTCTGTGTGAGTCTATGGGGCTCTGTGTGAGTCTATAGGTCTCTGTGTGAGTATATGGGTTACTGTGAGTCTATGGGTCTCTGTGTGAGTCTATGGGTCTCTGTGTGAGTCTATGGGTCTCTGCATGAGTCTATGGGTCTCTGCGCGAGTCTATAGGTCTCTGTGTGAGTCTATGGGTCTCTGTGTGAGTCTATGGGTCTCTGTGTGAGTCTATGGGTCTGTGTGAGTCTATGGGTCTCTGTGAGTCTATGGGTCTCTGTGAGTCTATGGGTCTCTGTGCGAGTCTGTGGGTCTCTGTGTGAGTCTGTGGGTCTCTGTGTGAGTCTGTGGGTCTCTGCGTGAATCTATGGGTCTCTGTGTGAGTCTATGGGTCTCTGTGTGAGTCTATGGGCCTCTGCGTGAGTCACTGGGTCTTTGCGCGACTCTACGAGTCTCTCTGTGCGAGTCCATCAGTGTGGTAATAATTATCACTAAATAACAACGATATTATTATCTAGAGAGAGAGACAGAGAGATATATTTGTTTAAAGGGCTCACGTACACTTTTGTCCACCGTCTCAAGGAGGAGGCCGTACTTCTTCTGCAGGTTCAGCTCAAAGGTTTTGCGACGATCCTGGAAGAGAGGGGGTCGGGAGGCAGTGGGAGGTCGTCATCCTCTTCACAAGAGAGGTTTTTTTTTTTGTCGGGCTCGATCGCGTCAATATAAATGTGTCGTTCAACCCGCCACCACACAGACAAGGCCAGTGAGTGAGGGGTTTGCGACGTATTCAAGCACGGAGCAGGGGGAGGATTTCTCAACAATTCTGGTTGTCGCCTGTTTATGCTGGTTGTTGTTGTTGTTGCTGCTGCTGCAATTACCGGCGAAACGACACGGTAAACGTTGTAGTGGGTTTACTCTCCAACACGCAACCGGTTAGCGCTGCACCAGTAACCAATAGGTACGTTCTGTTTACGTAACGAACCTTTGCCGATTGGCCGTGTGCCAGGTGTTGGTGTTGCGGGTTTAACGGACGCATTTATATTTACGAGATCAAACCCAGAAAGAAAAACCTCTATTTTGGATACCATTGGTCACAAAAGCCCTAACTGAGTGTTGCATCGTCATCTTTGTGACCATCACCGTCGCCACCAGCCGCTTACAGATGAAGTTGGTTGACAAAAGCAGCCAACATCTATGTCACCAAGAGAGCGAGCAAAATATATCCAACTATTTTAAACTACGAAACAATTTTTTTTTCCATTTTACCAGGTAAGGCCCACTGAGCAAATGTAGCTCTCGGTTTCAGAAGCGACCTGGCCATCACAAATGGTAGCGGCTTATCTTCACCGCCACCACCGGGAAATGTATCGCAACAGCCATTTACTAAATGTGGAGGGGAAAACCGAAGGACCCGGAGAGAAATCCACGCAGTGTCCACGGGGAGAGAGAGAGAGACACGCAAACTCCAAATATTCAGGGGTCAGCATCGGGATCGCAGCCACGACCTCCTGCATACCAGGCGAGGGAGTGAACGGCTCCCATTGAACATGGAGGCTTTCGAGGACCGATATTATCCACAACACCGGTTCTATGGGTTACATCACGCTACTCTCAATGCGTGAAGTAGTAACGAATTGGCACGCTTTGATTACGTGACAAAAACTGACTAATAATAGCCTGTGTCGGGTGGTGGCGGGTTAACAACACAATTATCTAAAAGTATGAACAATAACAATAGGTTTTACCCTTTCTTAAATAAAACGGGACGTGTGAACGATGTTCAAACATACTTTGATGCCGGCAAAAAATGTATCCCACGATGGCTGCTCACCCCAAGCTACAAATTCGCTGAGAGTGGCATTGCCCTGGTACTGTTCACCTGCGGCGGTGTTCCCTGGCCTGACACTGCTGGTGAGACCGGGCCACGACGGAGGCGGCTGTCCCCGGTGTAGGCCAATCAGTTTCAACGACGATGCTCGCATCACGAGAGCCATGTTGTGTTTGCATGTCCGGCACAAGCACTCGGTGTGGTGGTTCTTGATTCCTTGCAAAAAGGTTTCTGTTTGGCGTTTGAGCGTCTCAACACAACTCATGTTGTATTATACTCTTTTTGTTCTATTCGGTAAAGTCACGTAAAAGTATAAAACAACAAAAAATTCACGACGTTTTTTTATTTTTATTTTTTGTTGTTTTATACTTTTACGTGGCTTTACCGAATAGACCCAAAGAGTATGGATCCTTGCAGTCACGAAAGCTTCAAATCATGTTGCATTGCCAGAAAGGGTACACACACACACACATTATTATTATTATTACTTTTCATACAACGTCATTTGCCCTTGACGAGCACCTCGGGCCTGTATCCCTGGCGGCGAGCGAAGCGGCAATGCCGGAATCCCCCCCAAGCCGTCTTGGCGATCGTGCGGTCAGCCCGAGTGACAGTGGCCACGGCTGATAACGCCCTCAGTGGGCGTGGTGGGGTCACAGCAGATGGCACGAGCAGCTGCCCGCGTGTTGGTGTGTGTGTGCGTGTGTGTGTGCCGGTGCGTTTCCTGTGTGTTCGTGCTCGTGGGTGTGTGCGGTGTGTTGGTGCTTCTGCGTGCGTTTGTGTTTGTGCTGTGCGTGCGCTCTGTCTGCGCGTGTGCGTCTATGTCACAACGGTGACCAGAGTTCGATTCCTGCTCACGGCCAACACTCGTGACAATTATCCGAGCCGGTCCTTGGCCTCCCATAGGTCGACTCGGCCTCCGATGGGTACCCGGTGCGGCGTGTGGCAAGCATCGCCACTGCTGGCCACCCATCCCCTTGTGTGCCACAGCGCTGGCCTATGTAGGTGCCACTACTCGCTACGAACGGCACTTGCCCCCAAAAGTCTGTTAAGACTACACGGGGGACCTTTGTCTTTGTTTGGGGGTGTGGGAGGCGCAGGAAGTGTGGGGGGGTACAGGGAGGGGTAGCGGCAGTGATGGGAGGGGCGCTTCCTGTCTGGAAGTTAACACTTTGAGCAGATGATTATTCATAGATTTTGTATTTCCGTAGATGTTTGTTGTAAGAAACACAGCGGCCAGTCGCGGTCGTCCGCACATCTCTCCCTCTCCGTCCCCGCCGCTCAGTTCGTCGCCGTACCCCCGCACCTCCGATAAGCACGGTTGGCTACGTACGGTGCGAAAGAAGTTCAGCGTACACGCACACACAAACATACACAGCACACGCACCAACACAAACACAGCACAAGCACACAAACACAGCACACGCACACGCAAACATACACAGCACACGCACACAAACACAGCACACGCACCAACACAAACATACACAGCACACGCACACATACACAGCACACGCACACATACACAGCACACACATCAATACAAACATACACAGCACACGCACACACAAAGATACACAGCACACGCACACAAAGATACACAGCACACGCACACAAACACAGCACACACAAACATACACAGCACACGCACACACAAAGATACACAGCACACGCACACAAACATAGCACACACAAACATACACAGCATACGCACACACACCGCACACACAGCACACGCACACACACAGCACACACACACAGCACACACACAGCACACCACACGCACACACAGCACAGCACACACAGCATACACTAACACAAAGATCCCCTCTGTGTAGCCTCAACAGACTGTTGGGGCAAGCGCAGCAGCACCGATGAAGTCCTGCACTGTGGCACACGTAGGGGTTTGGGTGGCCAGCACCACGCCCGGCACGCACACACAAACACACACAAAGACAAATATCCCCCGTATAGACTCAAAAGACTGTTGGGGCAAGTGCGGTTAGCGAGCACCGATGAAGTCCTGCATTGTGGCACACGTAGGGGTGTGGGTGGCCAACACCACGCCCGACCGCCTTTGTCTCCCTAGTGGCGATGTTTATACATCGCACCAGGTACGCATTTGAGGTGGAGTCGACCTAGGGGAGGCCCAGGACCGGTTCAAATAATCGTCACTGGTGTTGTGAGCGGGAATCGAACCTGGGCGGCCAGGTTCATAGCGCAGCGCGCTAACCACTACACCACCGCTCCCCACAGACACACACAAAGAGACACACAGATACAGAGACACAAACACACAGAGACACACACTCACACAGATACACACACACAGAGATACAAAGAAAAAGACAAAGATCCCCCATATAGCCTTAACAGACTGTAGGGTCAAGTGCTGTTAGCGAGCACCTATGAAGGCCGGTAACGGTACACCAGGGGGTGGGTGGCCAGCACCACGCCCGACCGCCTTTGTCTCCCTAGTGGCAATGTTTACACACCGCACCAGGTACTCATTTGAGGCTGAGTCGACCTAGCGGAGGCCCGGGACCGGTTCAGATAATCGTCACTGGTGTTGGCCATGAGCGGGAATCGAACCCGTGTCGCCGGGTTCATAGCGCAGCGCGCTAACCGCTACACTATCACACAGAGATACACACACACAGAGACACATACACACAGAGATACACACACACAGATACACACACACAGAGACACACACACACAGAGATACACACAGCGATGATACACACGCAGAGATACACAGATACACACACACACAGAGACACACACACAGAGACACAAAACAGACACTGACGCACACACAACAAGCACCATTCATTGTTCACATTCCGAAAGCTCGCCCTGCCTTGGGTGACGTCATCACATCCGGCTGCCACCATCTGCTGCTGCTGCTGCAGTCGCCGCCGATGACTCACGCCGAGCGGACGCCGCCAATTCTACGCCCGGCCGTTCTACTGACCGGGTCGCTCCCCCTCATCGTGCACCGCGGCGCCGGGCTTCAACCTCGCCGAGACTCATCAGCGCACCGCGGCCGCCTACCGCTGTCGCCCGTCGGTCCGGTCGCGGTCGCTCAGGCGCGTCACGTGTCGACGCGGACCGGAGACCCCGGGGGATCCGGCAACGCAGTAACTATTAAGGACCCGCCGATGGTCTTAACCGAACTGTAAACTGTTTTTTATTTTACCAGGCAAGGCCCCACTGAGCTACGGAGCTCTTTCTAGAAGCGACCGGCCGATCACGAATGAGAGCTCAACGCGGTGGATTCTCACGTGGACATTTACAGCAGCAGCCAAATAATCTAAGCGGAGAAAAATTCCTCGCGACGGCAGGGAGAGAGAGAGAGACGCACAAACTCCAGAGGGCGTCGTCAGGGTCGGGATCGAACCCACGACCTCCTGTATAGCGGGCGAGGTCGTCAACGTCTCCCAAGCGTCACGTTGATGCCGACCGACGCCCGGAGGGAAGCGGACATGCGGCAGTTCTTCAGGAACCAGCGACGGCCTTAGTCACGACGGAACGCGTGGCGGTTCTGGGCCAGCGACGTCGTTCCGTACCGGCGCTCGCTCGCTCGTCGCGGACGGCTCGGAAGGATCGATGCCCCCACCCCCCTCCCCAAGGGCCCCCTGTGCCCCCCCCCGCTCACCTCTTTCTTCTCGGCCTCCTTCCCCACGTAGTCTTCGTAAGCGAGGATGTAGTCGATCTTCCGCTGCCCGTCCTCGAAGTACATCGTCTCGGTACGCCGAGACGATCCATCCTGCACGACACCGCCACCATCGCCACCATCGCCACCATTGTCACCAACACATCATTATCAACAGTCATTGTCAACATCATCATCAACAACACCGTCATTGCCAATATTGGCAATGTAAACATCACGCCATCATCGTCAACGTCGTCAATGTCGTCAACATCATCATCATCGTCGTCAACACCATCGTCAACATCATCATCATCATCGTCGTCAACACCGTCAAAATCATCACCGTCAACATCGTCATCGTCAACGTCGTGAACATCCTCAACATCCTCATCAACGCCAACACCTTGAACACCATCCTGCTGCCAGGTGCTCTCCCCCCCCCCACCCCTAAACACCGAACCCCCCCCCCCCCCCGCCCCGCCCTGAACACCGGGACCCCCCCCCCAAACACCGAGATCGCCCCCCCCCCCCCCCACCCAGCCCTGAACACCGGCACCCCCCCCGCCCCCAAACACCGGGACCCCCCCCCCCCCCGCCCCAAACACCGGGACCCCCCCCCCCCGCCCCAAACCCCGGGACCCCCCCCCGCCCCGCCCTGAACACCGTGACTCCGCCGGCCTGCATGTGGGAGCTGTGGCCATGCATTGTTTAGCCGGGGGGTTGCGTTGACCATCCGCAGGCCCCAGCGAGCGGTTGTTGTTACCACCCCAGCCACGCAGGCACGCAAGCTTGTTACGCAACCTACCGGTACATTACACTGGCCAACAGCAACAGACTGCACAGGGACTCACAGACTCACGCAGAGACCTGCAGACTCATGCAGGGACTCACACAGAGACCTGCAGACTCACACAGAGTCCCTGCAGACTCACACAGGGACCCACAGACTCACACAGGGACCCACAGACTCACACAGGGACCCACAGACTCACACAGGGACTCACAGACTCACACAGAGACCCATAGGCTCACACAGAGACCTGCAGACTCATGCAGGGACTCACAGACTCACGCAGAGACCTGCAGACTCACGCAGGGACCCACAGACTCACACAGGGACCCACAGACTCACACAGAGACCCGTAGACTCACACAGGGACCCACAGACTCACACAGGGACCCACAGACTCACACAGGGACTCACAGACTCACACAGAGACCCGTAGACTCACACAGAGACCCGTAGACTCACACAGAGACCCGTAGACTCACACAGAGACCCACAGACTCACACAGAGACCCACGGACTCGCTCAAGGAACGGAAGGAATTCGAGAAAGCGAGGGAGGCCGCGGGCCGACAGCGGGAGGCTTCGGACTGACGGCAGCGTTCATCGGCCACAGCGATGCCACCGCAGGCGCCCGTCCAGAGCGGCCATCGTACCTCGATAAGCCGCTCCATCGCTACCGCGCGAGGGCTCCGGCTAACCTCGACCGCTACGCCGCTTTGAAATTGTCAATTTTGCGGAGAGCGAGAGGGAGGGAGAGAGGCAGGGAGAGAGAGAGGCAGGGGGAGAGAGAGAGGGAGGGAGAGAGAGAGGCAGGGGGAGAGAGAGGCAGGGGGAGAGAGAGAGGCAGGGGGAGAGAGAGAGGCAGGGGGAGAGAGAGAGGCAGGGAGAGAGAGAGGCAGGGGGAGAGAGAGGCAGGGAGAGAGAGAGGCAGGGGGAGAGAGAGGCAGGGGGAGAGAGAGGCAGGGGGAGAGAGAGGCAGGGAGAGAGGCAGGGAGAGAGAGAGGCAGGGGGAGAGCGAGAGAGAGGCAGGGGGAGAGAGGCAGGGAGAGAGGCAGGGAGAGAGCGAGAGAGAGGCAGGGGGAGAGAGGCAGGGAGAGAGGCAGGGAGAGAGAGGCAGGGAGAGAGAGAGCGAGAGGCAGGGAGAGAGAGAGGCAGGGAGAGAGAGGCAGGGAGAGAGAGAGAGAGGCAGGGGAGAGAGAGAGGCAGGGAGAGAGAGCGAGAGGCAGGGAGAGAGAGCGAGAGCTGGAAACACTCAAATGCTCGCCGGGGCGGCTCCTCCCTCGCTGACTATGACCGCTCGCTATGCACAGACGCACTCACAGGCACACACACACACAGGCACACACACACACAGGCATACACACACACACAGGCACACGCACGCACAGGCATACACACTCACAGGCGCACGCACTCACAGGCATACACACGCACAGACACGCACGCACTCACAGACGCACGCACTCACAGGCACACGCACTCACACGCACAGACGCACGCATGGACTGTCGGAACGCGACGTGGAGCGAGGCGAGCAACGATGATGCCGGCTCACGTGACTCAGCCTCCTCACTGCGCACTACGCGGCGGGGAGGGGGGGGGGGCAGGGGGGAGCACGGGGGGGGGAGCACGGAGGGGGGGAGCACGGAGCGGGGGGGGAGCACAGAGGGAGGGGGGGAGCACGGAGGGGGGGGAGCACGGAGGGGGGGGGGCAGGGGGGAGCACGGAGGAGGTTTGCTCGCCGTCTAACTGCCCTGCCGTGTCGGAGGAGCGCTGCCCTTGCCGTCGTTAACAACGAGGATGCCGGTCGGGCTCCTATCGGCGCTGCTGCTGCTGTTGCTGCTGCCGCCGTTTTTATTTCATTCGACGGAATTATTTTTGACAGCGGTGGCAGCGGTGGCTCAGAGGGGGGGGGGGGGGGGGAGTTTGTCCGTGGTGCAGCCCCGCGCAACGACTCCCGCGGGAGGAGCTCATCGGGGGAACGCCGGCGCCGATGTCCCCGAGTGAATAACGCGGCGACTCTCCCCAGGCAAGGCCTCGCTCGAGACTCGCAGCTCTCTGTGTCAGGAGGGCCCCGTCAGCTGCTGCTGCTGCTGCAGCTCCTGCTGCTGCTGCTGCGTCCGTACAATCCCAACCGAGAGGGGCACCGTGGTGCCTAGGCGATGTTATCTCTCTCGCCAGGTATGGAGGAGGTCAGCCTGTTCAATTGTAGGACGCCACTGGAGCTACGCACTTTTAAATCATCTCGATGGAAGACTCATTTTTTTAGAACTGCTTTTTGTGTTTCGTTTGTTGCCCTTCCCCCCGAGCCACCGACTAACACGGTTGGCTACGTAGGGTGCAAAAGAAGTTCAACGTACAGACGCATCTTCAAAGTCTGCGTCTCTCTCTGTCTGTCTCCCCGTGGTCGCGTGGATTTTTCTCCGGGTCCTCCGACTTTTCCCCTCCACATTAGGAATCAACGTCACCGCGCGTTCAGATGCTTTGGTTGCCGCTATACATTTCCACGTGAGAGCATTTGCGATGGCCAGGGTCGCTTCTGCAGCAGAGTGACATTGCAGTTCGGTACGGGGGAGTTACGTCTGTTAAAATAAAAACGAGTTCAGCTGACGGTCACTCGTCCAACGTCCCTCGCGCCGCCGCTCCGTTGTTGTGGCCGCTGTTTGAACGCCTTCGGCTGAGGCGCTCTAGAAATATAAAATAATAATAATAATACATATTTGATTTCACGCCGACTGGCCCGGCACGTGAAGAGTTTGCCAAGGGATTGGATGAACCGTGCCAATACCGAGCGGCAGACGACTGCATCCTCCTAACCCGATAACACCGTGGTGCCGACGGCCACGCCACTGCACGTGGCTGCCTGCGGCAATCCAGCGGCGCCGTGGAGGAAGCGTGAGCAGCAGCAGAGCGGGTTTGGCGGATCGCTCGCGGATGGGCTGCGGAACTCCCTAACCCCTGGGTGGGTGAGCGTCGAGAGGGAGCCGTACCCCCTGGCTCCGCCAGGAGCAGGCGGTACAGCGGAGCGAGGGCTCATCTCCATCAGTTCCGTCTCCATGGGATGGAGTGCGGCCTCCTCCCGCGCTTATAAACCGTCCTGGAGAATATCTTACTATGCAGAGGACTGCAGAGCTTAGGGGGCTATTGTTGGTCGCGTGGCCTCATCGTGTGGCTGTTGCTGCCTTCCCACTCCTCGTCTGTGGTTCCTCCTCCTGGTGTCTCTTTAAGGAACCAAACAGGTGGAGGACTTCTCCACAAATGTGGCTGTCGCCTGATGAAGCCGGTTGTAATTACTGGCGAAAGGTCACAGTACTCAGATTATAAATGTTGTGGCTTGGCTCTCCAACACACCGGTGTGCTGTACTAGCGACGAATTGGCCACGTTCTGTTTACGTGACATCCCTTACTAGTTGGCTGTGTCGAGTGGTGGCGGGTTTAACGACACATTTATATATTTACGTGATCTAACCCAAAAAAAGCCGCATTATGGAATTTAGTTTGTATTGAGCGGCTGTTGGTTTGGTGACGATGATCGTCCGCGCAGGGTGCCGAGTGTAAGCGCTGGCACGCTGGGAAAAAAACTCCCCACTTGACGAGCCCACAGGACACTGACGTGCAACACATTTTCTTCCGAGTGACACACGGTGGTGACACGCACACGCACGCAGGCACACGTCAGGTTTGAAGAGACGCGTAAAAGTTGGTTTCTGAGAGACACACACAGACAGACGGCCTGTTGTGTGACACACAGAGACACGGTTCACAGAGGGAAAGATTTGAGTGACACACAGCCTTTTCTTTGTGACAAACAAAATGATCAGTTTTACGTGACACAGAGAGATGTTCTGAGTGACACAGAGGCAGCCGGTTGTGTATAACACACAGACTGAGTTGTGAGTGACACAGAGACAACGTTGGAGTGGCACACGGAGTTAGCTGTGAGTGGCACAGAGGGGTGTTGGAGTGACACACGGAGTTAGCTGTGAGTGGCACAGAGGGGTGTTGAGTGGCACACGCAGTTAGCTGTGAGTGGCACACGGAGCTAGCTGTGAGTGTCACAGAGGGCCGTTGGAGTGGCACACGGAGTTGGCGGTGAGTGGCACAGAGGGATGTTGGAGTGGCACACGGAGTTAGCGGTGAGTGGCACAGAGGGCTGTTGGAGTGACACACGGAGTTAGCTGTGAGTGGCACAGAGGGGTGTTGGAGTGACACACGGAGTTAGCGGTGAGTGGCACAGAGGGGTGTTGGAGTGACACACGGAATTAGCTGGAGTGGCACAGAGGGGTGTTGAGTGGCACACGCAGTTAGCTGTGAGTGGCACACGGAGTTAGCTGGAGTGACACACGGAGTTAGCTGTGAGTGGCACAGAGGGGTGTTGGAGTGACACACGGAGTTGGCGGTGAGTGGCACAGAGGGATGTTGGAGTGGCACACGGAGTTAGCGGTGAGTGGCACAGAGGGCCGTTGGAGTGACACACGGAGTTAGCTGTGAGTGGCACAGAGGGATGTTGGAGTGGCACACGGAGTTAGCGGTGAGTGGCACAGAGGGGTGTTGGAGTGACACACGGAGTTAGCGGTGAGTGGCACAGAGGGGTGTTGGAGTGGCACACGGAGTTAGCGGTGAGTGGCACAGCGAGGCCGCTGGAGTGGCACACGGAGTTAGCGGTGAGTGGCACAGAGGGGTGTTGGAGTGGCACACGGAGTTAGCTGGAGTGACACACGGAGTTAGCTGTGAGTGGCACAGAGGGCCGTTGGAGTGGCACACGGAGTTGGCGGTGAGTGGCACAGAGGGGTGTTGGAGTGGCACACGGAGTTAGCGGTGAGTGGCACAGAGGGGTGTTGGAGTGGCACACGGAGTTAGCGGTGAGTGGCACAGAGGGGTGTTGGAGTGACACACGGAGTTAGCTGTGAGTGGCACAGCGAGGCTGCTGGAGTGGCACACGGAGTTAGCGGTGAGTGGCACAGAGGGGTGTTGAGTGGCACACGCAGTTAGCTGTGAGTGGCAGAGGGGTGTTGGAGTGGCACACGGAGTTAGCTGTGAGTGGCACAGCGAGGCCGCTGGAGTGGCACACGGAGTTGGCGGTGAGTGTCACAGAGGGCCGTTGGAGTGGCACACGGAGTTAGCGGTGAGTGGCACAGAGGGCTGTTGAAGTGACACATGGACGGAGTTAGCTGTGAGTGGCACAGAGGGGTGTTGAGTGGCACACGCAGTTAGCTGTGAGTGGCACACGGAGTTAGCTGGAGTGACACACGGAGTTAGCTGTGAGTGGCACAGAGGGGTGTTGGAGTGACACACGGAGTTAGCGGTGAGTGGCACAGAGGGGTGTTGGAGTGGCACACGGAGTTAGCTGTGAGTGGCACAGAGGGGTGTTGGAGTGACACACGGAGTTAGCTGTGAGTGGCACAGAGGGCTGTTGGAGTACACGGAGTTAGCTGTGAGTGGCACAGAGGGGTGTTGGAGTGGCACACGGAGTTAGCTGTGAGTGGCACAGAGGGGTGTTGGAGTGGCACACCGAGTTAGCGGTGAGTGGCACACGGAGTGGGCCCTACCATGGGTACACGGTGGCCGTGTCCACCGCAGGATTCCGTTAAAAGCTGGAGGGGTCGGAGGGGGAGAACGAAAAATTGAACGCAGCGTTAGCGACGACTCACTTAGCGACGTAGCGACGACTCGGTGAGCGACGACTTGCTTAGCGACGACTCGCTTAGCGACGACTCGTTTAGCGACGTAGCGACGACTCGGTGAGCGACGACTCGCTTAGCGACGTAGCGACGACTCGGTGAGCGACGACTCGCTTAGCGACGACTCGCTTAGCGACGACTCGCTTAGCGACGACTCGCTTAGCGACGACTCGCTTAGCGACGACTCGCTTAGCGACGACTCGCTTAGCGACGACTCGCTTAGCGACGACTCGCTTAGCGACGACTCGCTTAGCGACGTAGCGACGATTCGTTTAGCGACGGCTCAGTTAGCGACGATTCGGATACCCGACCACAACGCACGCAGAACATCGTCGTCATCACAGCACCACACACACGTGGCGCCACACACACATCATTTGACAGTGACACACACACACATCATTTGACAGTGCCACACACACACACATCATTTGACAGTGCCACACACACACACATCATTTGACAGTGCCACATACACACACATCATTTGACAGTGCCACATACACACACATCATTTGACAGTGCCACACACACATCATCATTATCACGGTGCCACACACACATTGCCACACATCATCATCACAGCATTCACGAAGACTCACAACTGTTGTAAACAACAATAAGATGGCCCTTCTTCACGAGCACGTGATGGGCGAGAGGCACGGGGCGGGGGAACGAGGGGATGGAGACTGCACCCCAGGGTGGGATGGAAGATGGCGGCACCACCACCACCACCGCCACCACCACCACCACCCCAACCACCAACACCACCAACACCACCCCAACCACCAACACTACCAACACCACCCTAACCACCAACACTACCAACACCACCACCCCAACTACCAACACTACCAACACCACCACCCCAACTACCAACACTACCAACACCACCCTAACCACCAACACTACCAACACCACCCCAACCACCAACACTACCAACACCACCCCAACCACCAACACTACCAACACCACCCTAACCACCAACACTACCAACACCACCCTAACCACCAACACTACCAACACCACCCTAACCACCAACACTACCAACACCACCCTAACCACCAACACCACCAACACTACCAACACTACCAACACCACCAACACCACGTGTCTCTGTGCGAGTAGTCTATGAGTCTCTGTGTAACTCCATGAGTCATGGAGCTGATAGGCTCGGAAGCTGCGTGAGAGGAGAGAAAGCAGCCGGAAGGTAGAGCAGACATGAGGAGGAGGTGGAGGATGTGGAGGATGATGAGATGGACGAGATGGAGCAGGAGGATGATGAGAAGGATGAGGTAGTGGATGAGGTGGTGGATGAGGTGGTGGATGAGGAGGATGAGGGGTAGGAGGATGTGCTGAGTGCAAGCAGAGGGGAGCAGCAGGAAGGAGGAGGCAGTGACCCCCCCCCCCCCACCCACCCACCCACCCTAGTAGGGGCAGCAGCACCGGCTCGGCGAAGCGGCGTGGGCAGGGTCGGGATCCCGTCCAGCACAGCGCCGCGTGGCCAAGTGGACCGGGGCGTTCCGCGGCACCCCCCCCCCCCCCTCCCCCCCCCTCTCTCTCCATGCTCGTTCTACAAATGTCGCTTCCCACGCAGAGTTTTTTGGAAACCTTCCCGGCGCCCGTGCCGACGTCGTTCACCCGGCGTGTAAACAGTTGCCTCCCCGCCGTGGCTCCGCGCGATGCGGTTTAAACAAATGTCACGGCGACGGGAGAGGGGCCGCAGACGCTGCGAGCACGCGAGACCGACCACGCCGGGTTCCAATCCGGGTGTCAGCCGCGCCGGGTTCTACAAGCGTGCTGCGGTTGATGGGTCTCGGCCTGGCCACCAACGTCTGACATAGAGGACCCACAGATTAATATAGAGACCCATAGACTCACCACACGTAAACCCATAGACTCACCGCACATAAATCCATAGACTCCTCACACCGATACCCATAGGCTCACAGAGACCGATAGCCCAACACAGGGACCCATAGACTCACATTAGGGGATCCAGACTCGCGTAGAGACCCACTGACTCACACCGAGACCCGTAGACTCGCACAGTAATTAAGCTGCGTTCTCAAGTGCAGTGAATTGATGGTCTCAGCCTCATCACCAGTGATGGCACAAAAAACATTAAATCTGTTCCCGTACTTTGGCTAAATTCCAGGGAATTAAAAGATAAAAAGTTGGTGGGAGTGGAGTCGCAGTGCTTGGCACACTGCGCCATAAAACCGTCGACCAAAGTTGGATTCTTGGCTACCGCTAACATTAGCGGCGAGCGATAGCTCAACGAAGGTGACTAGGAGATGTTAACTACCTCGCCTGGTATACAGGAGGGTCGAGGGTTCGATCCCCACCTCTGATATCTGTTGCACAGGTGTGCAGGATTAAATAAACCACAATACCTCGCTCATCTCGTCAAGGACCTATAAACCACCATCACACAAACTTTGCTCATCTTAGCAGTGGCGGCTTTTGTCGAGCCATCGAAACAAAGACGGTGGTCACCGCATCACGTGGCACTTTCAGATGCGCTCCTGCGGCCGTCTGGAACGCTCTTCCTTACAATATTCGGAAGCCACTGGGACCTACGCACTTTTAAATCATCATCTAGATGGACAAACTCATTTCTTTAGAACTGCTTATTGTGTTTAGTTTGTTGTCTTTCCCCTCCCACCTCCGATTATCACAGCTGTCTAAGGACGGTACGAAGGAAGTCCAACATACATACAAACATGTGGGGGTCAGTGAGTGAGTGGGTGGGTCGGTCAGTGAGTGGGTGGGCGATTGGATGAGTGGGTGAGTGGTTGAGTGATTGAGTGGGTGAGTGGGTGAGTGAATGAGTGGGTGAGTGAATGAGTGGGTGAGTGGCTAACCATCGAACAAAGACTGTCTCCGCATCGCACAGCACTCAGACGTGCGGCCGTCTGGAACGTTCTTCCTTCCGATATTAGGAAACTACAGGGAGCTATGCACTTTTAAATAATCTAGACTGACAAACTAATTTCTTCAGAACTGCTTCTTGTGTTTATTTTGTTTGCCCTTCACCCGCACGGTTGGCTACGTACGGTGCGAAAGAAGTTCACCGTACATACGTAGGTACGTACGCGTGACACCGATGCAGGCGTGGCGGATTGTACGACCTGCAGTCTCAAAACTGACGGCGAAAGTGACCACTCGCGATTGGAGGAGTCTGGGTCGTGACGCTGGCACCTGGGCCGGAGTGATCGGCAGGGCATGGGTCACATCGACCCACCTCTTTTCTCCCTGCCAATTCCTTCCCTCAATCCCTAGGTATCCCCTGAATTCCTATACCCACTAACTTCCCTCCCCATACCCCATCCCTATTCACCGCATCACTCTTAGCTACCCTAGATGTACCACTCATAACCCTTGCAAAGCACCTTGGATAACAGCGCTAAATAAATATCAAATACGATTTATAAGATCGGCTCAATAACAACGGCAGCCCCCCACCGAAGATGAACATCAACGGAGGGATGGAGGCAAGGCCGATGAGTCGGACGCCGTTCTATGACCTCCTGTCGCAGGTGCTGGCTTGTGGCCCCTCGGGATAGAGTCATCATGTTGGGTGACTTTAATGCCCGGGTGGGTCGTGATGCTGGAACCTGGACTGGAGTTTATTGGAAGGCACGGGCCAGATCAGCTCAATACCAACAGATAAGAGGCCGCGAGACTTCCGTGCAGCCCATGGGCTTGTGTCATTACCAGCGCAATGTCTATCGGCATCCATTCCAGTCTCTTGTTTGGATAAGCGATTTGCCGGCGCATTAAACCGGATTAGCGCTGTGAATGGCGCGCAGGCCTGGTTGGGTGCTCACACTAACGGCGACGATTACCCCGTGATCCACCACCGTGATGTGGCCGGATGATGATGATGATGATGATAATGTGGCCCGATGATGATGATGATGATAACATGGCCCGATGATGATGGTGATGATGACGTGGCCTGATGATGATGGTGATGATAACGTGGCCCGATGATGATGATGATGATAACGTGGCCCGATGATGATGGTGATGATGACGTGGCCCGATTATGATGATGACGTGGCCCGATGACGATGGTGATGATGACGTAGCCCGATGATGGTGATGATGACGTAGCCCGATGATGGTGATGATGACGTGGCCCGATGACGATGGTGATGATGACGTAGCCCGATGATGATGATGATGACGTGGCCCGATGACGATGATGAAGTGGCCCGATGATGGTGATGATGAAGTGGCCCGATGATGGTGATGATGACGTGGCCCAATGATGGTGATGATGACGTGGCCCAATGATGGTGATGATGACGTAGCCCGATGATGGTGATGATGACGTGGCCCGATGATGGTGATGATGACGTGGCCCGATGATGATGATGATGACGTAGCCCGATGATGGTGATGATGATGATGACGTAGCCCGATGGTGATGATGATGATGACGTGGCCCGATGATGGTGATGATGACGTGGCCCGATGATGGTGATGATGACGTGGCCCGATGATGGTGATGATGACGTGGCCCGATGATGGTGATGATGACGTGGCCCGATGATGGTGATGCAGCTCCCTTTGGACACGGCCTGTGGCCACGAGGCCTCCGATGCATTCCAGCTCGTTCGCCACACGCGACATCAGCAGCACGGCACAGCAGCACGCCACGGCACAGCGCGGCACGGCACAGCAGCACGCCACGGCACAGCGCGGCACGGTACAGCACAGCTGCGTAGGGGCCGTCTCGGCACCGCAGCGAGGGTGCACCGGTGGTAGAGGGGCGGTGGTGGTGGCGACGGCTGCGGTGGCTGTTGTGGCTGCGGTGAGTGCGGCTGCGGTGAGTGCGGCTCACCCGCGTGGTGAGCGGGTGGCTGGACGGGGTGATGGAGTCGCACTCGGGGCTGTTGAACTCATCGCTCGCTCCCGAGCGACGGCGGCTGCCATTCTCCCCTGTTGAGAGGAAGAGGGGGCAGGTGGGGGGGCAGGCGGGGGGGCAGGCGGGGGGGCAGGCGGGGGGGCAGGCGGGGGGGCGTTTAGCTTCGTTAGCATTCAATAAAAAAATCAGAATCAGTATTTTTCGTGGAGGAATCCGATGAGCTATGAAGCTCTTTATCACAGATGTCCAATTAGCAACGGCAAGGAGCGGCGTCAAGTAGCGAGGTAGCCCCGCCCACTGCCGAGGTAGCCCCGCCCACTGCCGAGGTAGCCCCGCCCACTGCCCAGGTAGCCCCGCCCACTGCCCAGGTAGCCCGAACAGCTAACCAGGTAGCCCCGCCCACTGCCCAGGTAGCCCCGCCCACTGCCCAGGTAGCCCCGCCCACTGTCAAATGTATCTCCGTCCACTAAATCGGAACCAGAATCTATGCTTAGACTGGAGGAATCGCTATAAAGGTTTTTTTTCACAGATGCACAGTCGGGGCGGCTCAGAAACTTACAACAAACAATACAAAACCCACGCTAAGACTGCAAAGTATAGGACAGGTTATCAAATCACGAACAAACTGGACAGAGTTTATAGAAGTTGCACATTGCGTAAGCACACCGATGCCCAAGCTTGGGTGAGGAAGCGCAAAAACTGTCCCAGACCACACCAAGGTCACTGCTGCACACACACAGACAAAGATCCCCCGTGCAGCCTTAACAAACGTTTTGGGGCAAGTGCTGTTAGCGAGCAGCACCTGTGTAGGCCGGCACGGCACACGAGCGGGTGGTAGCAACCACGCCCGGCCGCCTTTGTCTCCCCAGTGGCGATAATAAGACACACACACAAAGACACTTTAGTGGTCATCTCTGCTATTCCCCTGTAAGTGGTCTACAATTTATTCGATGTCGTCTGCTTCAGAGAATAAATGTGCTGTTTATTATGGATGTTGATGCGCTGAATTCAAATGTGACAATTAACACAACTGATTGGCTACTGTTCCCAGGATATTTAAGTTTTTACATTTTTACGTCTCTGTAGTAGAGTTTTACTCATAAATTGGAAACCTAGGACTTTTCATGTGCTTGTGGTTGCTTTACATGATAACAAAAGGCAAACAAGCTATGTATAAGTACACAGCCCCAAAGAATATAAACTTTCGGCAAAGTCACGTAGATAGGTTCAAACTAAATAGCAAGAAAACGATGGCTTGTGTTGTCATCGAAACGTCGAAGTATTTTGTTAGTTTATTTGAAAGCCCCAAGAAGATGAATTCCTACATAGTTCAGTCTTGATTTAGTGCCTACTCGGCGCTTCTTGGCTTGTCTCTCGGATTCATTAAGCGGAGTATCGCGTGTCACTGTCCAGCCAGAGTCTGCAAGCATTGATGGGCTCCACTTGCCCTGAATGCTGCTGTTGGACAAACAACAAAGACAAAGGACCCCCACCGCCCCGTATAGCCTTCAGCACACTGCTGGGACAAGTGCTCTTATAGCCAGCACCTTAATTTGTGCTCATACCAAACGAGAATGGCGCAAGCTGTTTGCGAGCACCTATTAAGGCCGAGACAGTACAACACACAAATACAAAGATCCCCCGTATAGGCTTCAACAGGCTGTTGGGGCAAGTGCTGCTCGCGAGGTCCCACGCGATAATCCACTATCGTTGAGCTATCATTTGTGGTAGTCAGGTCGCTTGTGAATAAGAGCTGCATAGCTCAGTTGGGCCTTACCTGGTAAAATAAAGTTGTAAATAGTTTAGTTAGAATAGTTTAGCAGACCTCCACTCCGCCTGTGCAACTGGCACACTACTGCTGCTGCTACTGCTGCTGCTGGTGCTGCTACTGCTGCTGCTACTACTGCTGATGATGATGCTGCTACTGCTGCTGTTACAGCTGCTGCTACTGATGCTGTTACAGCTGCTGCTACTTGTAGTACTGATGCTACTACTGCTGTTGCCGCTACTGCTGCTGATAATGCTGCTACTGCTGCTGTTACAGCTGCTGCTGCTAGTAGTACTAATGCTGCTGTTACTGCTGCTACTGGTGCTGTTACAGCTGCTGCTGCTACTACTGCTGCTGATGATGCTGCTACTGGTGCTGTTACAGCTGCTGCTGCTACTGCTGCTGTTACAGCTGCTGCTGCTAGTAGTACTAATGCTGCTGCTACTGCTGCTGTTACTGCTGCTCCTGCTACTGGTGCTGTTACAGCTGCTGCTGCTGCTACTACTGCTGTTGCTACTACTGCTGCTGCTGATGATGCTGCTACTGCTGCTGTTCCAGCTGCTGCTGCTAGTAGTACTAATGCTGCTGCTACTGCTGCTGTTACTGCTGCTACTGCTGATGTTACAGCTGCTACTGCTAGTAGTACTAATGCTGCTGCTACTACTGCTGCTGCTACTACTGCTGCTGATGCTGCTACTGCTGCTGTTACAGCTGCTGCTGCTGCTAGTAGTACTAATGCTGCTGCTACTGCTGCTGTTACTGCTGCTACTGGTGCTGTTCCAGTTGCTCCTGCTACTGGTGCTGTTACAGCTGCTGCTGCTGCTACTGGTGCTGTTACAGCTGCTGCTGCTACTGGTGCTGTTACAGCTGCTGCTGCTGTTACAGCTGCTACTGCTAGTAGTACTAATGCTGCTACTGGTGCTGTTACTGCTGCCACTGCTGCTATTACAGCTGCTGCTGCTAGTAGTACTAATGCTTCTGCTACTACTGCTACTGGTGCTGTTACAGCTGCTGCTGATACTGCTGCTGTTACAGCTGCTGCTGCTAGTAGTACTGTTGCCGCTACTGCTACTACTACTGCTGATGATGCTGCTACTACTGCTGATGATGCTGCTACTACTGCTGATGATGCTGCTACTACTGCTGCTGCTGTTACCGCTGCTATTACTGCTGCCGATGATGCTGCTACTGCTGCTGTTGTTTCTGCTGCTATTGCTGATGCTGCTACTACTGTTGCTGTTGTTTCTGCTACTGCTCCTACTGCTGATGCTGTTACTACTGCTGATGATGCTGCTGCTGCTGCTGTTGTTACTGCTGCTACGGATGCTGCAGGAAGACGCAGCGTGTGCGAGTCTGGCCGAGCGCCCGGCCCTGCTGAGCTATTCTCGTGGCAGCAGCAGCAGCAGCACCACGTGGCAGTGTCACTCCGCAGGGCCTCGACAACCTCTGATGAGGTAGCACAGACAAAGATCCCCCGTGTAGCCTTAACAGACTGTTGGGGCAAGTGCCGTTAGCAGCGAGCAGCAGCAGCAGCGATGAAGGTCGGCACTGTGGCGCGCACGAACGGGGTGCGTGGCCAGCACCACGCCCGGCCGCCTTTGTCTCCCCCAGTGGTGATGTTTACACACCGCACCAGGTACTCATTTGAGGCCGAGTCGACTTAGGGGAGGAAGCTCAGGACCGGTTCAGATAATCGTCACCGGTGCTGGCCGTGAGCAGGAATCGAACTCGGGTCACCGCTACATAGACGCACACACAGAGAGACACACACACGCACACACAGACACAAAGACAGACCGACGCGCACACAACGACCGTCATTCGCCACTGGCGGTGACGTCACAACGACGCTTGTGCCAGGCTAGGTGCACGTTGAGGCCACGTGAAGTGTCAAACGCCCACTGGCAGGAGGTCACGGGACAGACCCAGGTGCCACGGGTCGACTGACTGAGATGACTGGTTGATGCACCATCTGTGCCCCCTACTGTGCCAACTTGCTGTGCTTTAGCCACCCGGCGCTCCGCTCGTTGTTGTGAGCGTCGCTCCTCCGCCCTCCGTTGTTGTTGGAGGGCGACTGCCTCCAACTGCCCAGCAGTAGCGTCCTTCACGAGCCTCCTCCACAGAGGCCTATCTTGACACCGCTGATACCAGTCATCAGGAAGTCCACTCAGCTCCACATCCTCCTGTACCACATCACTCCATCTCTTCTCTAGCCCGTGTGTCTGGGCATGCGGTGGCTGGGCATGCGGGCTACATGGCCCAGCCAACGCAGCCTTGCCTGGAGCTCACCGATGGGACTTTGCCCAGATCTTTCAAAGATTTGTGAGCTCCTCACACGATCCAGCCTGGTTAAACCCAGGATAGATCGTAGGCAGGCCTAAAACACGCACACAGAGACGCATACATACATCAAACCCTCGCCACGCCAGCCCTCACCCGCGTCTGTGCGTGTGTATTTGTACAGGTGCGACTGTGTGTGGACATGTTCAACTGTGTGTGCGTCTGTGTGTGCGCATGTTCAACTGTGTGTGTACGTGTGTGCGTCTGTGTGCGTGTGCACGTGACTGCAGCTATGGCAGTGGTTAGCGCATTGCGCCACGAACGCAGTAATCCCGAGTCGTTTGAACTGGGTTCCTGGGCCTCCCCCTAGCTCGACTCAGCCTTAAATTTAGTACCTCGTGCGGAGAGTAACGGCAGTATCAGCACGAGGGAGACAAAGGCGGCCGGGCGTGGTGCTGCCCCCCTGCCTCTCGTGTGCCAGTGTCGACCTTCATAGCTGCTGCTGCTGGCCGCTAACAGCACTCGTCTGTGTGTAAGTGGGGGTGGGTTGTGGAGTGGTGAGCGCACGGCCCTGGGAACCCGGCGGCCCGAGTTCATTTCCCGCTCAGACTATTCATGGACCTGAGATTGTGTGTAAGAGTAAGCGTGTGTCAGTGTGTATGTAAGCGTGTGTGTGTAAGCGTGTGTGAGTGAGTAAGCGTGTGGGTGTATGTAAGCGTGTGTATGTAAACGTGTGTGTATGTAAGCGTGTGTGTGAGTATGTAAGCGTGTGTGTATGTGTGTAAGCGTGTGGGAGTGTGTAAGCGTGTGTGAGTGTGTAGGCGTGTGTGAGTGTGTAGGCGTGTGTGAGTGTGTATGTAAGCGTGTGTATGTAAGCGTGTGTGAGTGTGTAAGCGTGTGTGTGTGTAAGCGTGTGTATGTAAGCGTGTGTGTGTATGTAAGCGTGTATGTGTAAGCGTGTCTGTATGTAAGCGTGTGTGAGTGAGTAAGCGTGTGTGAGTGAGTAAGCGTGTGTGAGTGTGTGTG